ACAGTAAACTGGCTCTCCTGTGTGAAGTAGTTTTAGGAATCTACTGCATTTCGCCTCCCCAGGTGGGCATTTCCCAAGTGCAAGGGCAATGCTTAACCATAAGGAACAAATCAGCAATTCTCAGAGTTGGACAGACCCTCAGGTTGCTTCCCCAGCCAGCGGTTTTGCCAAGCCAGGCTTAGCAGGGCCCCCTGAGTGAGAGCTCCCTCTCGCTCCAGACAGATCTAACTTTTCAGAAGTCATTTTTCCCATGCAGCCTGCATCCCCCTGCTAGGTCTCCTAACCCAGGGCCTTAGCCAGTTCTGGGGGCATCACACAAACCCCAACATTAACTCTGGCTTTCCATTTCTTCAGCAGGTGGTGGCTTCCACACCTTTCCTCTTCTGGGCCTGGGCTCTCAATGCCTAGTGGGTGTTAGTCCTACCAGAGGGTCCCTGAGCCCAGGTTGCCCCTGAGACAGCAGCCGGGCCTCTGGAGGTGGAGCTTGGGCCGACTCAGGGGCATGGCTCCCAGCAGAGCCAGCCAAATTCCCCAGGCTGCTGACAAGCTAGAACCTCAGTATGGCCCCTTGGTGGGAGTGGCTGAGCTCCAGAGATGAGGGGGCGCTGGGCAGGGAGCCTACTGTCTCCTCCTCATGACTTCCCTTCCTCCTCATCCCAGGAGCCTCTGTGCCGGCCAGCTGTACTAAAACTCCGGAAAACCATGGCGGGGAGGTTTTCCAATTAGAACATTCTTTTTCCGATCTGTGGATGATTTTTAAAGCAGCAAAAAGCCATTCTTCAGAGCATGTGGGGATTATCTGCCAGCGGGGCCTTGGCTCAGCTTGTGCACTCATCTTCTAGTCCTCTAGAGGCCTGGCCTGAGGCTGCTTCATAGCCAAAGACAAAAGGCAGTCTGCATTCTGGGGCATTAGGTCACACAGGCCAGGACTGATGGTGGAATAGTTCCTGGGCTTATTCAAAGAAGTAGATTCAAAAGGCAGTGGGGAGTTCAGGCTTCAGGGGTGGATGTCCCAGTGGCCAGGGAGGCCCGCCTGAATAACCTCCCTGCTTCCATTGGAGCCACTGTCCACAAAGCATGGATTTGTCCCCTTGAAGCTGAACCTTTCTGCCTTTCCCACCAGACTGTGAGATGCTCCAAGTTAAGACTGGGGGTGGCAGTGCGTGGGGAGAAGGAGGCCCAAAGGGGGCACTTGGTGACTGAGAGAATATGTGTGTGCCAGGGAGAGGAACCAGCTCCTTAGCCAGAAGTGCAGGCTTAGGGTGGGGCAGGGGGACCCCAAATGCAAGACCAGGCAGAAGAGGTCTCACTCCATGTGCTGACTCTGCAGGTTCGGGTCTTTGTAGGGGTCTTTGTGGGTGCAGCCACACTTGGGGACTCCTGCTCCCAGGGGACCCACCCTAACTGGACCCAGCAGAGTCACCCAGCAAGTGGAAACTGGTTGAAGAGCTTAGAAGGATGAGGCGGCAGGGCGGGCCTTGGAAGGGAGGGAAGGAGGGGATTAGGATGCAAACAGGAGCCCAGCCCTTCCCACACATGAACCTGAGCACTCAGGCTGGGTGGGGGCTCCACTCAGAATAAATGGAGCCCTGGTTTTAGTCCCAGCTATTCCTCAGACTGGCTACATGATCCCAGCTTTATATCATCCCTCTCTGGGCCTCTGTTTCTCAATCTGCACAATGGCAGTTTGGGTCAGTTGTTTATCTCCAGTCCCTTCTGGTGTGGGGGGAATCTGCCTGGGTCGGCTTTGGAACCTGACAGCTTTCAGAGCCCCGTCCATTATTCCCCCTGCCTATCCTGGGAACTCTTCTCCTAGACTGACATGCCTGAGTTTTGTTCCCAGCCCTGGAGACCAGAGGGGCCTCCCTGGAGCTTAGGAGCACAATTGGCGAGTTCTTTCCAAACAGCCACCTATCCCTGCACTTATCTGCTTGCTTCAACCTGGCCTCCCAGAGAATCTGTTTCCATTGTCTGCTCATGGGCTATGCCCCTACTTGCCATAGGGGACCTCTCCACTCCTGTCTCTACCTTCCGGACCGCTTGCCTACCCAGGCAGCCAAACCTGGCCCCACCCTTAAGCCCACCCTACTTAGAGGCAGCACCTTAGGGCCTGCTTGTCAGTGGGGAGACTGCCTGAGCTGCAGGCTTCAGAAGGACTCTGCCAGAGCCCTGCCAGTCTGGGAGCTAGAGATAGGGGCTAAGGCTGAAGAGGAGCTGAGAGTACAGAGGGATGGGGTCAAATTCAGGCCAGGCAAGGGTAGACAGAGCCTAGGCTGGGGGCAGCCAGCCACCACCAGGGTCTTGGCCCTCAAGTTCTAGGCCAAGGAGAAGTTTATGAAGGAGCTAACGTTGTGGCTGGGAATAGGTAGGAAGTCACCACCAAGTGAAGAACTTGTGCAGGGGCCTGGTGGTATGAGAGCAGTTAGTGTGTCTGGGTCCAGGTGTCTGAAGGCAAGGAGTCAAAGAGGAAGCTGATAAAGTTGGCAGGGGCCCTGAAGCTTGGTTGAGGTGGCAGAGGTAGCTCTGGCAGGGGTGGGGATGTTCTGCTGGGGCAGTGAACAGGTGGGCAAGGCAGGGCAGGGTAGGGCAGGGCAGTTACTGTTCGAGTCTAACCCGTTTGCAAGTGAGATCAGCTGCAGGGCCTGGCAGACTGGCAGGGAGGGAGGAGTTGAAGAAAGGCTGGTCTCTTTGGCTGGTGCTGTCGTGGCAGATCTGGCCTGGGCAGGGCTGAATCACCTAGGATGTGGGAAAATCTCGAGGCCGTGGGGCAACCCAGCTGATGGAGCCCCCTCGCTGACTGGCCATTGGCGGCTTTGGACACCACTCTTGCTCGTGCTCTTTGGCTGGCCCACCCAGACTTAGGGCTCTGGCATGAACGTGCCCATCCCCAGTGGGAGGGAAAGGCCACCCTCTTCCTCACCCCTACATCAAATTCATCACTGTGTCCTCTACATTCTATCTCTTTAAGCTAGGGGCTCTGGAAGGGGAAGGGGGCCCAGAGAGGGGATGTAACATACCCTAGGTCATAAAGTAATTATGTTTAGGGGCTAGGATGCCAAGCCAAATACATCCACAGTCATCAGTTCAATGGGGGAGGCAGGGCAGGAAGGCATTAGATGCTGGCCACCAGACTGGAAGCTGAAAAACACTTGTTGGCAAGAGACAGAGATGAACTGAAGTGACTTTATATACAATTTCCCCACCTTTATCCCCCACGCATATTCACGCAGACACAGGGCCACCTCCTCCCTACCTGATAAAGCCCAGGAAGAAAAGGATGAGGGCAGCTTCCAGAATATCAACCACTCCTCAGTCTTCTGCAAATCCCTCTGACACCCTGTGCTGGTCTCCACGCCCCAGTGATCACTCAGACTGAGCCCTGCCCTCCCAGAGCTCACCATCTAGAACAAGAAACAATGGTGGCCACCATGCTAGATCGAAATAATCAGAGGAAACCAGAGGAGCACACAGAAGGAAGAGATCAACTCAACTTGTGCAGTCAGGGAAGGATTACTGACACTTAAGAGAAGTTTTGTAGAATGACTGAGTTCACTAGTCAGACAAGAGGAAAAAAGACATTCTAAGGAGTCTGAGTGCCAGGAGCAAATGCCCCAAGGAGACAGGACTTCTGATGCATTCCAAAGACAGAAGGAGACCACCACATCTGGAGTGTAGTGAATCTAGGGGTAGAGTGGCTAGACCTGCAGAGAGGTTGGTGCAGCAGAATCCTTGGGCCCTTGAAAGAGTATGGCTTTTATCCTGAGAGCAATGGGAAGCCATCCAAGAGTTGCAAGCAGGAAGCAACATGTAACTATTAAAGAGACTTCTGTGTGCAGACTACATAGGAAGGAAGGTGAAATCAGAGGTAGAGAGACCAGTGAGGCGTGGTGGCAGTGGGCGTGGAGAGAAATGTATGGATTGGAGGGCCTTTCGGGACACAGACTTGGCAGAGCTGTATCCATCCCTTTGAGTCTGTCATTCTGATAGGGCAATTTGGCCAACTCTGCTCTCTTGGATGGGCTTAACTATCCCTTGCCTGGGAAGCCTCACGAACCCCCCTCCCCCCACACACACACACAGAGGTAAGGTTAGGGGTTTCTTTTAATGCTCCCTCCATCTCACCTGCCCACTCCAGTGCCTTGCACTTAGCAAGTACACAGTAAGCTTGACTGAATGACACACATGCTCAAACAGTACGAATGGATAACACTGATCAAGCTGCACTAGCCCTTGGTGTTTGAATGTGTCTCCCTGCCCAGCCTGTGAGGTGGCCCTACTTGCTGACAGGGTGCTTACTGCTGCTGTGCCTTGTGAACCCCAAGTCCCTCCAGGATGGCCTTCTAGGATGCTCCAGTGTGGCCTCACTTCCTTCTCCTTCTTCCCAGCCTCTGGGACTTCCTGCATGATCTCAGCCGCCAACCACACACACACCCCTGCCCATCTCCCCGCCCCTGTCTGGGATCTCCATCTGTAAAATGGATCTAGGAACAGTAGTTCTCCACAGCATTAACCCGCAGCATCTGTGGAAGTCATTGGCCTCGAGCGGGGGCCAGATCGCATCGAGTGCGGGCAGGGGCGCAACTAGGCAACCAGGGCCCTTCACGTGGCGGAGGCCTCCCAGTCCGGGGCCGCGAGCCTGGAAGAATTTGCCTGGAAGTTTTCCACCGCAGCAGAGCCTTCTGGAGCTCACTACGGGCTTGGTGCAGGGAGTCCCGGCCTTGATTTCTCCAGCAGCCCCGCAGGGCGGGTCCGGGAAGGGGCGGGCGGGCCAGGGCACTGGCTTGAGAATGTGCGGAATGTGCCAGGCCCATCTACCTACCCCAGGAGAGGGCAGAGGAAGAGGGCCGGCCGAGGGGAGGGGCGAGGGGCGAGGCTCCGAGCGCCAGAGAAAACCTGTTTGTTCTCCTGCGGGCGGAGCCCAGTCCGTGTCTCCTCGCCGCCCAGCAGGCTCCCCGCCGCGCCCCGCGCCCGCCGCCGGCTCGGCCGAGGGAGCCCGCGCTCCGCCTCCGCCCGACCCTCCGCCCGCCACGCGAGCTGGGCACCTGTGCCAGGTAGGGCTGTCGAGTCGCCGTCGGCGCGGCCCGGCAGAGAGGCAGCAGGGGGCACCGGCCCCTGCCCAGCCTGGTGACAGGGGCAACTCCGGGCCTCAGTTTCCCCATCCATACCCTTCACCTGCTCCAAGCATCCCTCCTGGGCTTCTGCTGGGGAGGCAGTGCACCTGGTTTTCTGTTTTTCACTGTGAGCAAAGAGACAGAGAGGCAAAGAAGGCTGGCCTGGTTCCTCTGCCCTGGCTCTTTCTGTAAGAGAGGGTTTGGTTGTTAGTGAATGGCCTGGGGCCAGGGTGCTCTGAGAATTAATTGCAGGCCTAAGAATCAGGGAACCTAAGATCAACTAGTTCACCCTGTGTCCATTTTATAGATGAGAAAACTGAGACCCAGAGTAGGGGGCTCACAGGTTGCTTATGGTGAGCATGTGCCGGGCGCCAGGCAATCTCCTGGAAGGCCACCAGTAAGGTAGCTGCTCAGACAGAAGGCGCCAAATTAAGTGTCAGTGGGTGCTATCAATGGGATCTGCAGCCAGAAGACTCTGTGGCTGGATTGTTTTGATGAGGGAAGGGGGAGCCAAGAGTCTGTCCTCTTTGGAAAAACAGGGTGATACCTCACCTCAAAAAGAGACTGAAAGCACAGCTCCTCCCACTGTCCATCCTCTCTGCTACTTCCAAACTGAGGGCATCTGGGCAGCTCCGCCTGTCAGTGCAAGAGGGTAACTTGCCAGGTCACCTACCGCCCAGGGCTGCTGGGGGCTCAGATGATGTTAGAAGTGGGTGTGCCTGGGCTTTGGGGCATCCAAAGTTTAGTAGGAATTGTGTTCTCACTTCCGTTTGCACTTAGTCTTGACATTGTTGAAGTCTGTGTAGCTGCATCTCAGGACCACAATCTGTGAAACCTGAGAAAGAGCCCCTCACACCCCACCTAGCAGTGGTCATGTCCTCTGGCTCCCAAACCCAGTCTTGCCTTGGTTTCATGGCTCTTTGGACTTCTGGTTGCGATACCTGGCTGGGGACAGGGAGCAGGGTCCCATAGGCTGATGGGCCTGGACAGTGGGAAGTGGCTCTGGGTTCCCACTTCCTCCTCACCACCTCACATAAAGCTGTGAGGGAAGGCTGGCTGGAGTGGGGAGTGGTGCTATCTCCCCACAGCCTCCACTGCTTCATCTGAAAAGTCAGGGACAACTCAGACGCCCTGCTTTCCACTTGGAAGCAAGTGGCCAGGACATAGATGCACAGATCAGATGCCAACTTGCCAGCTGGCCTTGATGCTTGTATTGTTTGCTTCATCACTCCTGGACCACCCCAGGATGGAAAGGAGCAAATCATACTTTTTGCTGAGGTGAGGTTTCACCTACCCTGCCCCTTCCCTCCCTCATTTCCCAGCCCCAGCCCTTGTGCCTTCCTGGCTTGGCCTTCAGAAGCCGTGGCCTGGCTAGGGGCTCCATACTCAGCTGCAGAGAGCTGAAGGAAGACACCCAGCGCAGGGCCAGACGCACAGCAGGTGCTCCAGATCTGTTCATTTTAACCTCTGGCCGCTCATAAGTCAGCGACAGAGGTGCCCAATGACCACACTGGATGCTGTGGCTCTGGGTGGCATAAGCACAAGGGGCTGTAGTGCCTGGAGCAAGGGAGCAGCTCTGGCTGTGAGGATAAGAGAAGGCTTCCTAGAGGAGTAGGGCTTGGAAACAGGAGAAGGAGCTCAGCAGCTACCAGGTCAAGGCTCTCACATCCTTTGGGGCTGCTTTAGTGTGAGCTCCTCTTAGTGTCTGGAAAACCAAAACCAGTTCTTCCTAAGCTCCTGTATGTTCCACCCAGAGCTGAGCAATGAGCCCCTGGAAAGAAATCGTACACAGACCTTCCCAGGGAGTCCAGTTGGGGAGACAGAAAGACAGTAAGGAGCTGCCACTTGCATCAAAATTGTGTTCTTCAGTTCTTCGGCTTGAGTCCAGACTTCAGACAGAACCCCCACCTGAAGGCAGTGACCCCAGGGGCAGCCAACAATTCACCTCAGCCTCTTTCAGCCTGTTTTGTGCTCCTTGCGTTTTCTGCCTAGTGTCCTGTGGCCTCCTGAGATCTGGCAGGGCAGAGACTCTGGACCTTCAGCAGTGGGCCCGGGACCTGGCCACCCTAAGCATTGTCACCTGGTTCCTGAGCTGTTCTTAGTTGCATGCCAAGGAAAGTCCCCAATCTGACTCAATGCACTCTGGAAGCTGGATTCCCTCCTTCTCCCTTCCCCACTCAGCCTCCACGGGTAACTTATCTCTTTGGTATGGGTCTTGCTCCAAGCCACAGGCCATAGGGTGCTAGCTCATGTGCAATATCAGCTTGCTTTCTGCTTGCTAAGCTCTGAGGCTGCCCCCCTGCCAGGCTTACATGGCATGAGACAGGACCATGGCCCAAGAAGAGGAGAGCTGCAGCCCACATGGCACCCTGGGCCTTTGGGTTCCTATGGTTGGGATTCATCAGGGACTCTGCCTTCATTTCCACTGTGCCAGGACAAGGGCAGCACACCCAGGGGACCCACACACCTGAGAACAATGCTCAAGAGAGGTTGTCATCGTTGCTTCCAAGGGTTGGAGAGCTGTCAGGGGACTCGGGAAGTGCAGCAAGGAAGTGAATGGTGCGATAGAGGTGCCTTTACAAGCTAGGGGTAAGAGAGCGGCTGGAAAGTCAGGCTGGGTTCAAATCCCAGCTCAGCCACCATCTAGATGTGTAAACCTGAGCACATCACACAACCTTTGGAGGCCTGGGTTTTGTCACCTGTACAGAAGGGAGGCTGCAGCCAGGAGCACCTGCTACATAGCGGCAAGCAGCTGGTACCTGGCACAGAGGCAGTGCTCTGTCAGGGATGTCCATTGAGCCAGGACCACAGTGTCCTCCTCCAGGAGCTGAGGTGGCCAGGGGTGAGGTTGGGGTGGGTTGAGAGGAATGTAGGCTCTCCACTTGAGAAAAAACAGTTGTTTAAAAATTACTGCTAGTCTGTCCCGGTGATGCACATGATGTCAAATGTTAAATGATTTGCCACAGAAAACTTAATTCTTAAGTCATTCCTGGATGCTTATTAAAATATGATTCACTTTCTTTTCATTTTAACTTTTAACTTTTCACTGTTTTTATTTTAACTTTTCGTCTTGGATTAGGTTAAAAATCACAGAAAAGTTGTAAAATGGTACAAAGAACTCCCTTCAATTTTTATCTGGATTCCCCACTGTTAACATTTCTGATGGCTTTCTTGAGGAAGGGAGAAGTTGGCATGGAAGCACTTGTGTGGCAGTAAACTTCCACTAACAGGTGGCTATGGAGGGGTCAAGAAGTGGGCAAGGGCTAGTGTCAATTCATTTTCCAAAGGGAAACCAAGGCACAGAGAGAAATTCAATCAAGACTCATTTGAGGATTAAAAATGGAACCAGGCCCTGGCAGGTTTGGCTCAGCGGTTGGAGCGTCGGCCTGCGGTACAGAGAGACCTGGGTTTGGTTCCCGCTAAGGGCACGTACCCTGGTTGCAGTTTGTCCCCGGCCCTGGTTGGTCGTGCGGGTGGCAGCCACTCGATGTGTCCCTTTTACAACAATGCTTCTCTCTTTCTCTCTCTCTTCCTCTCTCTCCCTCCCGCTCTATCCGAACAAAAAAATGGAAAAATGTCCTCGGGTGAGGAAAAAAAAAAAGAATGGAACCAGGTTATCTTATCTCACAGATACACATGTATGTATTTGGTGAGTGTTTTCTGATCCCTTACCCATGCTGGGCACTGTGGCACAAGGAAGACTGAGAACGGAGAAGGGCAAGGATAGGGAAGTGGGAAGGGAGGGCCTGGGTGGGGAAGGAACTGGAAAATGAAAGGACAAGAGGCCCTATGGGTGTCATTTTCAAACTAATGTGGGGAGGCAGGAATCTGCAGCTTAAGTACTTGTCACAGAGGGACCCAGAGGCCACTTTCAGAAACTATCTACAGTTTTCCCCTGGGGACCATGCTCACTTGCCATTTCAAGAGGGAGAGGAGAACTGGGGTCAGTGGTGGTGGCCCCTGAGATGGCTGTGGAGCTCTTTGGACATACCCTGGGTCAGAGAGGAGACCTGGCCTCTGGGACCAGTAGTGGGCAGTCCACATGCTGCTGCTGGTTGTCGAAGGTGGTCCCTGGCCTTAGCCCCATCTGTGGGCACACCTCAGGCACTCTTCCAGCCCTCTTGGTCTGATGCCTGTGATCACTGTCTCAGAACACCATTTTCTGATGACGAGGTCAGTTTCCCAGAGAGCTTGGTGTGCCCGAGGGTTGCTATGGAGAGAGGTTCACGAATTCCAATCACAAGAACGGGTGTCCCTGGTGAAAATGCTCATTTTAGGTAGTGCCTGGTTTCGACTGAAAATAAAAACAAAACACCCCAAAACTAAGACTTGCCTCACCTCTTCTACCCAAGGAGCTCCTACTCACTCTTTCATCCTCTCAGGAGCACCCACGCCCAGGGCACCCCGTGGGTAAGGCGGCGCTCTGGCAGTGCCCTCCTCGCAAGGCTTCTCTAAGCTGTCTGTCTGTCTGTCTGTCTGTCTGACCAGCACCCAGCCCGGCATCAACTTTCCATAAATGCTTTTTGAATAACTGAATATGTGGCCTTGGGCAAATGCTTTCTCTTCTCTGAATCTCCATATTCTTATCTAAAAACTGGGGACAGTGATCAGAGGTGAGAGTGGAGCTCAGGGGACTCTGAGCCTAGGGTGGACAGGAAGGTGAGAAAGGAGGGGACTGTGAGGGACCTGGGTTGGGGAGAGCCCCCAGGAGGAGGAGGAGGCCTGCCAAAGGTCAGCTGGGTGGAAGATGTTGTAGGAGGGGAGAGGGGGCTGGGCACTGCTTTTCCTCTTGAACCTCACTTGTGATCACCTGTAACTAGGACAAAAGGAATTAGCTTTTGCCAATGGTAGTCAGGGGCAAATGTGGGGGGACTTCCCTGTCACTGGGCCTGTCCTGGCAAAGGCCGACTGCGTGGTAGCAGTGAGGGTACGGGGATATTCCTGGAGGGGGAGAGTTGGTTGGGGTGAGGATGGACTCCATGATCCTTGAGTCCACTTGGTTGTCCGTGTGCAGATGCGGATAGCATCTCTGTTCCACTAGGATGGGCTTAAAACCACCTTAGTTCCCAGGCTGCAGAGACAACTGGAGTGTTGGGGGTCAGAGAACAGAGCCAGCCCAGGCCGCATAGAGTGGCTCCCAGGGTTCCTCAGGACCCCATCTCATGGTACAGCAGGGGAGATGGAGGCCATGAGAACACTGAGAATAGCTCATGTAGGCAGCTCTGGCAAAGGGTTCTGCTTGGGGTGAGGGCTCCTGGGTCCTGCTCTGTCCAGCATGTTGGCCCTGCCCAGCCCTGGGCATCCACAGAGACATCTCATAGGGCTCTGCCCAGAACCCCTCACTGGCCCTTGAGGCCAAGCCACCTCCAAAATGGCCCAGTCACCCCAAGCAGTCACTTGTATTCAGCCTGCTAAGAGCTAGCAAATGAGCACAGGAGAGCCAGGAGGAATCCCAGCCCCTCAAGGGTGACAGTGGCCAGGTGGCTGTGGCTCCCTTTGCCCCCTCAGGGTTCAGAATCCCCACTGCCTTTGGAGGGAGCTAATCCACTCAGACATCTGCCTCTCAGGGCCCCTCCAGCGCTGACGCCGAGAAGTCTAGATTCTGGGGTATTGAGTATAGGATGGGGGTGGGGGGGATAAAATTCCAGACTTTCATGCAGAAGTCATTTACCTGTAAAGCACATTTACAAATACTCCCCCCATGTGTTCTTTTTCCATATTACATTTTCCCCTCTGCAACCCAAGTGTCCTCCCACTCTTTTCTCCATGTGGTATACCTCCTTCCTGCTGCCCATTGGTAGGCCTCCAGGCCGGACCCCCGGGACTGGAGCATCAGGGGCAGGTCAGGGTTCTCTGCCCAGCTGCTCACACTGGTGCCTGGGAACTGTGTGCTGAGCAGCAAACTGCGGGTCTTGGAGACCCAGCTGCTCAGTCATTGCTCTGGCAGGTCTCAAAAGGGCCCCTTCATCAGACTGCTGCCGAGACCCTCAGGGTCCCAGGAACCCCTGGAGAGGCAGCAGCACCTATTCCAACCCTCTCTAGGGGAAAGCAACCTGCTGCTGACTGTCTTCTTGCCAGCTGCTGAGACCAGGAATTGGGATGCCCTCATTCACAAGACCTTAAAAGGGGACATTTGATCATTCCAACCTTGTTGGCCCAGGGAATCAGGTCAGCTGCCTGAGTGCTGGCTTAGCTCTGCCTGGGTCAAAACAGAAACTGTTTGTCAAGTGGTGTCTTGAGAAAGGACTGGTGGAGGGCACCCGAGTAGGGGACGGAGGTCACTATCCCTGATTTTTAGCATTCGCAGCCCCCTCACACTCCATGCCCTGTCCTGCCTGAGGACTCTACACTGTTCATCTTTGTGTTCAGGTGTTTCTCAGCCTGGCCTGTGGTGTGCACGCCAGCTCATCCTTGCAATTCCTGCTGCAGCCTTCTTGGGACCCCTGCCCCTCAACCTGGGCTCTCCCTACGATGCTGGGCCTTTGATCTCCAGGGGATGTTTCAGAGGGAAGACAGGACAGGGATGGAGCCTCTGAAAAGCAGCACTACATGTTATCCTGTGGCCCTGGTGATGAGCAGAGGGCTGCACTAAAGCCCGTGCCTTTCCCCCATGACCAGGTGCAGGGGCCAGGGAGCACTTTGAGAAAAGGGCTTCATCTTCAGCCAGAGAGGGTAAGTGACATTTCCAGTGACTTGTTCTGACACAACCAGGACTTGGACTCCTGTGTAGTGCTCTTTCCTTTGCACGTGAGTTGAAAGAGAGAGTGTGGATGTGTGGCTTTGCGGTCTTGACCGAGTCCTCCACTTCTGTGATGGCACCAGTGTGCCCCTCCTATGCAATGATAGTTGATGGGCCAAGCTGGCTTGTCTCTGAGTCCTTCTGAATAAGTACTGTCCCATCTCCTTCCCAACTTCTGTTACTGCTGCCCTCTTCAGGCTTGGGGGCTGCCAGGCTGGTTGCAAAGGAAAGCTCTCTAAGGAACGACAGTCTGGGAGAAGACACCTTGCCCCCAGGGTGGCAGGCAGGGTGCTCCAGGAGGTGGGCTTTGACTAGCACAGTGTCACCCTTCCCTTGGCAACACAGACCACTGCAATCTTGGGACAGCTCATTTCCCTGAAAGAGCTTGAGAGGGGCCTCTCATAGGTGCTTACACACAAAGGAGGACCCTGACCTTGAAGCTTAAGGCATTTTCTTGAAACACACCCAAGGAGGACCTGGGTGTCTATTATGGAAAGCAGCTCTAAGGCACAGGGACTTTTCTTTGAGTTCTTTCCCCAATGCTGGGGCTACTGAAGGCTCTTTGTCCAAAGGGAACATTTACAGTGCAAATGGACAGAAGCCTTTCTCATGCCGAGAATCCCCATCACCAGGGCAGGTCCCAGCAAGTCAGGCTGTCACACAGGTGAGGAAGGGCACTGCCTGGAGCCTCGGGGTCATAGAGAACAACTCAGGCTTTCATAGGAGGGCCAGAGGGGGCAGGTGTGACAGCTGGGGTCTCCCTTGCAGGCTTTATTTTTCCATGATTTAGTCATTGACACCCTCATCCAATGGTGGGGAGCCAAGGCCCCATGAGAGAAGAGTCGCCTTCCACCAGGCCACCTGTCTACTCTGAGACCCCTGGCAGTGACCAGCTGAAGCATCAGAACCTGCTGGTCCACTCATCTTAGGAACAAGTTGCTAGGAGACAAGGGACTTTTCATCACTTCACCTCTCCCCTCATGACCCAGATGGAAGCACTTAGGTTTCTGCTTAAGTGATGCAGAAGGCTATATTCTGGGGCTCTGCCTCTGTGAGAGTTCCCTGCCCCCAGAACCCTGTGAAAGTGCTCACAGATCAAACTTCATTAAAACATGGTCTGAGGCTAGTCCAGCAACCAGCCCCTGCACTGGGTGGCCCGAGGCCTAGATGGCTTCATCCACATTTGCCACATTCATATTTGGTCATTGGGCTTGGCTGCATGGGCTGTGCTCTGAGCTGTATATTCTTCCTCATGATGATTCCAAACCCACACCTAAAGGGTCCACACAGAGCTGAGCAGCGGGCTCTGGTTCCAAGAGACAAAATTATGTTGATTCCTACCCATCAGGAATGGGGCCTCTTGGAAGGCCGGTACACATGGGCATATGCAGTCAGGCTTCCTCTCAGCTCCCCTGGTGCAGAGTGTCCCAGCTCACCTCTGGGGAAGCCCTGCCCTTTGCTCTTCTGCCCAGGGTGTGCCCACTCATGTTCGCTCACAGTGGCCAGCACCCAGCACACACACATTCAGACAAGCCCCAGCACCCATGCCCTCTGGCTGTGTCTCTATGTACAACGATGTTCATGCTCCTGGGAGGCAAGGCTAAAGGTGTTTTGTTCCTCTTCCTTCACAATTTAGGTAGGAGGTCCCTGCTTGGTATCCAACACCCCCTCCCCTATTCCCCTGACACTCAGGGCAAGAGAAGGTCAATCGCTCAGTCTGCTCTCTTTTCACACAAACCTTTGCCACAAAGATCCTAGGCCAGGGGCCTGGGAGCTGGGATGGGCCGGCTGCCTATATTGGCAGTCCCAACTGCCTTGCCCTGTGCTCAGTGTGCATTCAGTTGTCTAGAAGAGGCTAGCCCTTCCCATCTGCAGGGGAAGCTGGCATGAGGACCCCAGGATGGAGTGATACTCAGGGGCCAGAGAGAGCCACCAGGCCAATGGCCCTCCATGCCCAAACCCATATCCATGGCTACTGCAGTCTCTGCCCGAGGTAGGCTCTGCACCTCTACACCTCCATCCTCTCCTGTGGATCCTTTTTCTTTCCAGGCTAGTGGGAAATGCAGACATTGTTAGTGCAGTGTGACCAAGAAATGGACTGGGCTGTGTCCCTGAGCCAGGGGACTGTGGAACTTGAAGGCATCTCTGGGAAATGCCTCCTGAGCTGACCCCAAAACCATTTGGCAAGGACAAAGACACAGAAGCCTGCTTAGAAAAGAAGGTGTGCACAGGGAGTCAAGCAGGGTGGCTATTCTAGAAAATTTTCTCCCAGTTAGTCTTGCAGAGCACGTCTTTGTGGGCTGTGGGGCGCCCCTCCTCCTGCTGCTTCTCTCTCCATCTCTGTCTCCTCATGTAACAGCCAAGCACTTGCGTCACTGTCTGTGTCTCCCCCACTCCTACCTCCCCCGCTCCCACCCTCCTGCTAATCTGCCAGCATCAGCTGCTGCATCAGCTCTGACTCCACTGAGGACACCAGGCTTGCTGTGGCTCCTTGCACCCCCTTATTGGCTCCTCACTTCTGTCTGTCCAATCAGAGCCAGAGGCCCTTTTCCTGGGAGGTTGCTGGGCAGCCTTGAGAGGCTGGCTTCACAGGGAGGAAGGTGCAGTGGGAGCACACATATTGGCATTCTGAGGCCATCTGCACCAGAGAGGACCTGTCCCCATCTCCCCCTGCCTGCCTCAATAGACATCTGCAGGCTAATTGAAGAGAGATAAAGAAGGATGTGAAGGGCCACGAAGGTGGTCTGGAGGCACTCACCTGGTGTCTGAGGTGGCCTGGCCTGCTCAAGAGGACTTGGACTTGGTCCTGAATTGGGACAGGCTGGTGTATGTAATCTTAGTGTAGGGTCTTGTTCAGAGTTGGCACAGAGAGGGATGCTGCCTAGTGAGGCTGTATCGAGTGAGGCTCCAGAAGTGTGCCATGAGGGACAGCTGGGGCAGAAAGTGGCAGATAAGCCACCCATTCCTTTGGTGGTCCAGGCCATGCCCCTAAGCAGGGCAATATGGTAATTCTTAAGGAACCAGAAGACTTCTCCCCATCAAAATAGAAATGGGGTGCACGGAGTAGCTGTCCTGATCAGTAATATACTAACATAGGCCATTTGGGAGATGAGGACACTCACCAGCATCAAAACATCCAAATTATAGAAAGTGGCACATGCTCTGGCTTAGGAGACCTAGACAGCAGGTCCACATGCTTGGTAATTTGGCACCACTTTACAGATGAGAAGACCAAGGCTTAGAGAGTGGGACAGCATCACAGCCATGTGAGGCCACTTAGAGACGAGGAGCAGAGATATATTTGCTCTCAGATCAGGTGGCCCTTCTGAATGGCAGGATTTGTGGGCCAGAAGAAGTGTAAGACTGGGAGGCCCCAGGTAGGCAGAAGGTCTCCTGTCCTACTTTCAAAGGTTGCTGGGGATGCAACAATCCAGCAATCCAGTGTTCATCTTGCTTCTCTCTGTACCTTCTCCGTGGGGTGAATGGGGAGGTGCAGGGGCCCCGGTCAGAGCATCTTGCATCGCAAGCACACAGGGGAAGGAGAGCTCACAGGGTGTGGGCTGCCCTACTCGGAGGGGATTCTGGAGTCTGGTGCATGGAGTCGGTAGTGGCTGGACCAGGCTAAGTGGCCAGATGGATGGACATTGTGTGTGTGACTAGTCCAAGTCCAAGAGTCCCCTCTCTCCAGCAGGTGCCAGTCAGCTGCTGAGGCAAAGTGCTTGGCTTTGGAAGAAGTGTACAGGTACCAGTGGGGGTTGTACCTGGGCCACCTGCACCTGACATTTTGCTCCAAGCCACGGAGCACAGGGTCAGCAGGGCTACTGCATGGCTACAGCTCAGATTCCGGCTACATTCTCCACCTTCTGGGAGCCTTGGAAATGTGGCCTGGGGCCAGTTGCCCAACCTCTCCCTTGCTTATGGTGAAGCAAGGATGACAGTACACTTACAGGCTGATTGCAGACTTGCTGCCAAATTTGCGTGTCCTGACCCCTGGACTCGGTGCTAGCCTTGTTAGCTTGCTCGCAACTCATGTCCCAGGACCCCATGGAAGGGCAGGGCCAAGACCCCCATCCTGGTACTCGGGTCTTCTTGCACCATCACTGCCAACATTCAGGCTCAAAGCACCCCCTCCCCCACAGTCTCCTTCTCCCTGGGAACAGGGAGTGGGGGTGTGTGGTGTGGTGAGGAGGGTGGGAGGGAAGAGGCCTGAGGATGGGGAGTTGTGTTTAGCACTTGCAAAGTGGATTCCTTCTGTGCTACTGTGCCCCCTGCCTTTGTGAGGGAAGCTGGTCTCCTGCTCCCTGGGGTGCTTCTGAATTATGCTGCTGGGTCAGCTACTGCTGTGACCTCCCAACTGAAATCAGACCCCACATATACCACTTGCTCTCTCCCCACCCCTGGTGGGCAAAGAAGCTGGAGGCTCCTGCAGGAGGCCCTGTGCTCCGGAGGCAAGGCACTGCACATTGGGCTCCTGGAGGCCCCGGGTGTCCACTAGAAGGAGAGAATTCCCAGGACTGCTGCATCTGTACACTCTCCTCACGTCCCACGCCTTTAGCAGTTTTTGAGACCCATTCTTACCAATCCAAGCAGCGCCAACACCATTTCATTTGCTTAAACCACTGTTTCTTTAGTCTTTATCACACAGGCAATACACATTTATAATACAAAAATTAAAAATACAGAGGAGCAAAATATTTTTGTATATATCCTTTCAGGTATTTTTTAATGTGCATTTTATGTAAATAAATTTTAAAGTAAATGGTATCATCCTACACATCTTGATTTAAAAGCTGCCTTTCACTTAGTGATATATGAAAACTATACACACAAAGGCTTGTTAAATATCATATATATCAATATCATTTGTAATAACTGCTTGAATGATGGATCATCAGAAACCAGCTCTCTAACAGGGACCTAAATTCAAACCTCATGTGTCCATCTGTCTATCTGGCAATCATCACTTTAAATGCCCCTTGACCAAAGAGTTGCCTTCTTTAGTCCCATGGAAAGGTCCTAGTCTATGGCTCTTTCAGTTAGATTGTCCCATCAAAAAAAGACATTTGACTTCTGAGATGAATAATCAGCCCTGGTCTTTGCCTGAGTCTTCTGTAAAGACAGGCCTGAAGCAGTGTGGGCACCACCCCAACTTTGCCCTCCCTCACTGTGGGCTCTTGTGTGTGTCCCAGACTCAATGGCCCGCCCCTCTGCTTTTGTCATTCTGCATGTGTGTGAGTCCCTCCTGATTTGGAAGTAGTTTACTTGGTTCTACCACCTCTTGGTACACGGGAAGATACTCCAACCAATGGAGCCACACCAGCCTACTTGGTTCTAATTAGGGAGAAAACTTTTAGGCAACGTGGCCAACAGGTTTGTCAAGAGGAGATTGATGAGTTTCTGAAAGAACCTAAAGACTGAGTAGTAGGAGTTCCTGAGCTGAGGCCCAGAGAAGGTGAGGCACTCGCCCAAGGCCTCAGTCAGCAGCACCAGGAGACCAAGGGACCAAGATCTAGGAGTCAATTCTGTCTGTGTGCCCTGCCCAGTGGGGCCACTTCATGGGTTACTGGGATGGGCCAGTTGGGCATGTGAGGATCACCTATGGAATGTGCTCTGCTCCGGAGAACTCTGATGTGGATGCCTTGGTGCAGAGGCTGGGCACACAGGGTGCCCATTCACGATAATGAGTTGCTATTCCTGGCACACAACAGGCTCAGGCCTCCTGGGCTACTCATTTGGTGCAGTTTATGGGAAAGCTAGCTCTTGCTGACATGGCAAATTTGGTTTTCTCTTGGCCCCCTGCCCTGCCCATTTTAGTTTGCCCTTGACCTCCATGGGAACATGTTCAGGCCTTGCCAGCTGGCAGCAGGGCCCAGCTGCTTAGGCTTAGCCCTGGAGGGGCCCAGAGGGTAACAGACCCCTACCTAAGAGGAAGGCTGCTGTATCTCAGGACTGTGCTGGCAGAGCCAGGACCCCTGCTTCTTATTATCCCCACTTGCCTGAGCCTCCAACTCCTCTCTTGAGGCCCAAGAGGCCAGTTGTGGCAAGTCAGGTCTGTCACTAGACCCATGATGTGGGCCTTCCATCTCTCTGCAGCACTGGGCCGCTCCCAGCCTGGAGAACTTGTTTCTTCACCCCAGGCCCTCCTGGGGCAAACAGTCTTCATGGTGCTGTGAAGGCGTCAGAGGCCAGCACAGCCCACCCCTCACTGGCCACAGGAAGGTAACACCTGGTACCAGACCTCCACCCTTGTCTGGTCCCTGAGGGCCACAAGGAGTTGGCAGTGGGGTTTTCTCACTGGAGATTGAAACCAGCTCCTGAACCACACAAGGCTGCACACCCCTAGGCCATGCTTGTACTGACTGAGGACCACCCACAGTCCTCTCTTCCAGTGAGGACAGATTGAGAGTTACTGCTCTTGTTCAACTGCCCTGCCATCTCTGCTGTGCCAGGTGGTGCCCGGCACTTGCAAGACATTAGTGTATTCTATCCTCCCAGCAGTCATGTAGGGTAGACTGTTTAAACTCCTATTTTACAAATAAGAACACTGAGGCAGCCCCAAAAGTTCAGCTGACCAGCCCAAGGTCTGTCAGACAGCTACTAAGTACTGAGATAGATGGTCCAACTTCCAAATGGCTGTTTCCTCTGGCCCCCACCCTCCCCCCAGCCCCTCCTCCTGAATCCACTGGTGCCGGCCTCCAAAGAGCCTACTGTCTGTGTGGCACTGTGAAGGCTCCCTCGCTGCCACTCTTTCCCCACACTTTCCAGAGCCTGAATTCTGGCCATCAGTGCTCTCTAAGAGGGCTTATAGTGTTCTCTCATCAGCCATCTCTGAAACAGACAGCCCTGGTAGCCTGTGCCTTGTTCCCCAGGTGAGTGACCCTGATAGTGGAAGATCCAGAAAGTGTTCGCTCTGTGTCCTCTACCTGCCACCCAGGACTCCACCAGTTCTTGCTTTCCAGTGCCCAAAGGACAGTCTGGATGGTCTTGGTGTGCCAGGGACCACATGATGACCCATAAGCCATTATAAATGCATGACGTGACAGCCATGTACTTGCTTTTGCCCCAGGAATATTGTTGAATCAACTGAGAAGTGACCTGTAGAGCAGACACCATGAGCATCTCAGCTCTCGGAAGCAGCACCAAAGGTGAGGCCCAGGCTCCCTCTATCTCAGTCCCGGTTTTGGTATGTGGCTGCCTTTTTCCAGGCTAGCACTGCCTGGGCAGCATAGTGCGAGAGACATGTTGGGAGGGGCTGGAGAGGAAGCCCAAGGTCCTGGGGCTAGGCTCCCCTTCTGAAGCTGTGTAGCCTTGCCCCTGCCAGGGAAGCCTCTCTCAGCAGGCGAGGAGGAGCGCAGTAACGTCCTCAGGCAAATGAAGGTGCGAACAACTCTGAAGGGGGACAAGAGCTGGATCACCAAGCAGGATGAATCGGAGGGCCACACCATGTAAGTCCAGGAGGCTGGGAGGGCCAGCAGCAACTGGGTGGGGCTGGAGCTGTGATCCATGAGTCTCATCCACACCTGGAGATGCTGAGAGGCTTCCACCATTCAAGCTCAGCCAGGCAACATGGTCATAGGCCAGCTGGGGAGGTTGGAGCAGGGGAAAGCAAGGCAGCTGAGGGTAAGACTCAGCCAAAGTCACAAGGCAAGAAAGCTCTGGGTGCCAGGGTATACATGTGGAATGTGAAAGCAATCCGGGGAAGAAGGTGAGATGGGAATGGTGGGCCGAGTTCCTGGGATGCATGTACTGCACTTCCCTCAGCTGCCTTGGGACCCAACAGGCACTCTCTAAGATAGAGGCTACAGGGTGGCTGATGGTAGGGGGCCTGGGAGCCAGTCTTTTGGACTTCTCTTTCCCCAGAGAGCTGCCCTCTGGTCGGAGTCGTGCCACATCCTTTTCATCACCCGGGGAGGTCCCAAAGGCCAGGTAAGAAGTGATACCCAAATGGCTGGTGAGAGGGCCCCATGCTGCAGTCCTCAGAGGACAAGGATGGAGCCCGAGCTGAGAAGAGATGTCAGGGATCTGCAGCACGTCATTTGAAATCCACAAGAAGATGGGGTTTTCCACTCTGCTTCCCTTGGGAAAGGGAAAGCGGGAGTCACTGGGTCCAGTTTTCTGGCCTTGCTGTGTGGCCCTTGGGCCAGCTGCTTCCCCTCCTAGCCCTCCATGGTTTCACCTGTCAACTGTGATCAAAAGTGTCATTAAGAATCCCCTGCAAAGAGTAAGACAATGTCTGTGAGGTGCTTTGAGAGTCACACATGACTTCCCCCGTAGGTAGCCCTGATTGCTGAGTGCACCTGGTAATTGGCATGCCAGGGGACACTCACACATTTACGACAACTGTCTCCCAAGTTCAGGATGACATATTTTTACAGCTGTCCAAGGGGAATGGTCCCCTCTCTACTTCATTGGCTTTTGCAAAGAGGTGTCCAGGGAGGCTCTGAAGTGTGATAACGTTGACCCAGATCTGCAGGAACTGCTCCTGAGAACTAAGGAGAGGAGGCAAAAATTCAGGCTTGATCCTTGATCCAAACAGCTGGCAGTTGGCAGTGACTACATTGCCAGGGCCTTTCTCAGGTGGTGGTACAGGCAGTGGCAGCAGATGGAAGGAAGGGGTCCAAGTTCACTGCTAGCCCCAGAGGCTGTTTTTGGTAACTGTGGCCTTGCCTGTCATCCCTCAATGGCAGCGCATGCTACCTGCCAGATCCTGTGCTGAGCACAGGAGACAGCCCTCTCCTCAAGGAACTGCCATCCTAGCAGGGACTACAGGTGCAACCCAAGTAGAGAGATGAACATACAATAGAGAATTGTGGTTTGTGAGGTTAGCAAGGACCTGCAGACAGTTCAAAGATAATTTTCTTATTGTGGGGACTTGTTTACTTTGGGGGTGCAGTTCTCACCTTGGGCTTTGGTTTGGGAGTACATTTGGAAAGCTGGTCCTGGGGTACTGTGACTCAGGGCCTAGAGCAGGCATACCTGGAAGTCTACATAAACCTCACTCTCATTCTTTCCCAGGGGGGTCCAGGGCCAGCCAGGGACTGTGGCCTACCCTCCCCAGCACACAGGTATTTCAGATTAAAATGCTCATTGTGGCTAGAAGTGGTGCAAGTGACCTTTCTTAGGTCCCACCTTAAGTGTTCTTAGAACTTGGTCCCCTCCAGGGGGCTACCCCAGGGAAGTACAGGGTCTGTTGAGATGGAGAACACTGGGGCTCTGTGCTGCCCTTCCTACCTGCCTGCATGAGATCCCCTTAGACCCAACCCTGCTGCTTCAGCCCCAAGCTCCTCTATTCCTGGACAGAGTCCTTATCTCCTGCACCTGAGTCCTGGCTGCCCACACTGTCAGCTGTTGACTCTCACCTTCAACCCCCTGAGTCCTCTGAGACCCCTTGGTTGCCCCCAATCAGGAAGTGCCCAGCACATGGAGCCTAATGCTTTCCAGCCACAGACTAACCCTTGGCCATACCCTCAGGTTCCAAAATTCCATAAAGACTTGTGATGTGGTTGTCCCAGGGGCTGGAGGAGGGAAAGCCCCAGAGGAGGGGGAAGGGAGGGTCAGCTGATCTTGGCTGTCTCATGCCTGGGCTCTGCCCCTTGGGCCCTCATGAACTTTCCTGGAAAAGGCTGAGAGTGAGGGTGGGGGGATAGGTCAGGAGCCATGGCTTCTGCCTGCCATGTCCTCAGCCCCAGGCCTCTAACCATGGAGCATCCAGCCTGAGCCGGGTCAGCTTCAAAAGCAGAGGGTAAGAGGACTGTCAACAATCCCAGAAAAGCTCTTGCTCAAGAGAAAGCTGGGACCTGGCAAGCCACGGAGAAGCCAGAATTTGGAGGGGACACCTCCTTGACAAATGCCCAGCCAGAGATCATGACTTCCTAGGCACCTGCTGTGAGTCAGGGCCATGCTGGGCTGAGCCCCGAACAATCAGCCACAGGTACTTTTCCTAGGGAGCAGGAGAGGGACAGGCAGAGAAGAGCATGAACCAGGCTAAGGGTACATGGTGGCTGGCTTTCTTGGGAAGCTCCTGGCCACTCCTGCTCCTTCTGTTCTGACTGCACTGGGGCACCCCCCCCCCAAGCCAAGCTGCTTTGCTATCATTGGGGACAGGAGAAAGTAGGGCCCTCTAGCAAGGCCGCAATTCACTTTATGCCTTCTTTTTCCTTGGCAGGTCTACGAGCACAAGGGCTTCCACTGGCTATATCATCCGGTAGGTGAAGGCAGGATCCTGCCCGCCTCCCCCCACCCACCTACACTGCCCCCTGGCTTCTCCCTGGGAGCTTAATGGGCTGTTTCTTCTGGGCTTTCTTTTAGGGGAGTGTTCACCAAGCCCATAGACAGCTCATCCCAGCACCAGCAGCACTTTCCTAAGGCCAACGGAGCTCCAAAGAGGTGTGTCCATTGGGGCGCTGGCCAGCCAGCCAGTGGGGAGTTGTGAGGGCCTGGGCCAGGCTCATGGCAGAGAGAGTGCTCTGCCTGTTACTTGGGGGGGGGGGGGGGTTGGAAGCTCTGTTCTTATGTAGATTAAGGCTTTGGACAGAAACACAAGGGCAACCTAAGAAGATGAGTTGTGGGGGGTAGGGGGATGCAGTTGCACCACAGAGACTAGCAGCCCCCAAGTAGGTGCCTGGACCACTTTGGGCCCTCTGGTCTCTGGGAGTCCCTGGGCCATTACTGATGACCTGGCCCTTGAACCAGTTCTGATTTGCAGGGAGCTTTGACTTATTGATTGACTGCAGAGAGCTGTGTGCTTTAAACCACCTTCCTGGCAGGCTGAGGTGGCATACTGTCACAACACCTTGATGTCAGGCTGAACTCAGACTCCATCAGAAAGGCAGGGCCAAGGGGGCTATGTCTGCCAGAGGGCTTCCCTGCTGAGGGTGCTGCAGATCTTCTGGTTATCTGGCAGGGCTGAGAGCAGAGAAGAAAGGCTACCAGCATTCTCTCATCCACCTACCACATGCCTGCTGGGCTGTGTGGGCAAATCTGGAGGCAAGAGGGGGCCTGAGGGTAGGCACATGAAAACTCCTTGCTTCCCCAGCACTGGCAGTCTGATGAGAGCAGCTCCCACTGGGCCTTTTCGCCCCTCCTCCTCTGGCTACAAGATGACCACTGAGGACTACAAGAAGCTGTGAGTACGCAATCGCAGACCCAGATCAGTTCCCTCCTCCAAAGGACGAGCCCAAACACTGGTCCTCTGAGAGCAGTGGTCTGGTTGCCTCTGAGCACAGTCCAGGAGTGCTAGTCCTGTTGGCCTGATGTCCCTGCCAGTTGATGCTGTGACCCTGGAGCCCACCAGAGGGTGACAAGCCCCAGAATGTTGGATGTCCATGCATACTGCACTTCTGATCTAAGGCAAAGCAAGGTCTATAGGAAGTTTGTAGAAGGAGGTGGTGGGTCTGGAGAAAGGGTCACGGGTCATGGCCTTTGGGCTGTTTCCAGCTGACTGTGTTTCCTGGACATGACTCTTGGCTGGGCTTTCAGCATGGGCCGGGCCGGGCTAGGGCCTGATGATCCTAAGCATGCTGCTGCCCTTAGTCGTCTATCAGCTATGGGCATTTTGTGCCTAAATATGAGCTGCTTCTTGGATATAAATCTTTGGGGTTCCCTCTAGAGTTCCCTGTGTGGCCTGTGCCTAAGGCCCTCTCCTGTGTGCCCAGGAAGAGGAGCTCTGGACAGAGTTTTAGGTTGTGCTCATGGTTCCCAGGGGCCACACGGTATATTGTTTGTTCCTTGTCATCATCATCCAGTGACATGGAGCAGTTAGGGTATCTTTCTGAAGAAGGGGTGAGGCTTAAACTGGGTCTTAGAGAACAGTTAGGGTTAGGACAGGGAGAAAGAGGAAGGCTAGCTCTTGAGGAGGAAGAAGTGGCATAAGCAAAGGCCCAGAGGCAGTGATGCCAACATGTGTTGGTGTTGTTGGAAGTCAAGAAGCCAAGCTACTGAGGGTAACAGCCTATGACAAGGAGCAGGGGTGGAGGGAGGGGGAGGAGGAGCCATAACGGCCAGCATCCTCACCCCTCCCTGCTCCCCATCCCTCAGGGCACCCTACAACATCAGGCGCAGCTCAGCCTCAGGGGATGCTGAAGAGGAGGATGTGCCTTTCTCTTCTGATGAGCAGAAACGGAGGTAACAGTACCCGCTGGGCATCCCATGGACAGGGCTGGGGCCAAGTTTGCACAGACTAGTGAAATAGAAATTGTGCCGTTGGGGTGATGAAATGCACAGCACTTAGGACATCATTGCTGGCCTGTGGGAAGGAGGAGTGGCTGCTAGCAACAGGTGTTATCCCTTGAGTCCCAGAACCACCCACATAGCTAGGCCAGCTCAAGGGACTCTCTTATGAACATTCTATGAAGCAGAACCTAGGTAACAAGGGTTGGGGCAAAGCCTCATCTGTGGACAGAGGGTGGAAAGGGATGTGCTTTAGAACTTTATATCAGTTTGTTAAAAAGGGTCCTGAGCAAATTGGACCAAAATAGGCAGCACAGGAGATCCTCATAAGAGCGCTCTGTGCCCTGGCCAGTTTGGCTCAGCGGTTGAGTGTCGGCCTGCGGACCAGAGAGTCCGGGTTTGGTTCCTGCTAGGGGCACGTACCACCAAAAAAAAAAAAAAAGAGCCCTCCATGTGTGTGCTGTGTGTGCAGAGTCATGGCAGGGCCTGCATGCCTGGGGGGACAGGGCCAAGCTCCAGAGGTTCCAAAGTCCCAATGTCCCTCACCCCAAAATGAGGCTAGGTGTTTAGGCAGAAGCTAGGACCCAAGGAAATGAAGCTCCCAGAGCTCAGTCTGCCCCTTTCCTGATCCCAATGTCTGCCTGCCCCTCTGTGGCTCAGGAAACAGAGCAGAGCCCCCTGGTAAGGGCCTAGCAGCCCAGCAATCCTAAGGACAGAGTTCACAGTGGCAGGGGTCCTAGGGCCTAGAAAGTGCTGGGAAAGAGCCAGGCCATCTGGCATCGACTGCCTATTCTGCCACTAGCTAAATGTGTGATCTTGGGTAAGCCGCTACAACTCCCCATGCTTCAGTTTCCTCATCTGTAAATCGTGGGTGATACTGGCACCTAACTTTCTAGGGTGCAAGGAATAAGCCATCGTGGGTTGGCAGCATCCATTGCTAGATAAACACGGGCTGTTCTTACCTTGGTCTCTATTTTCCACTGAATAGTCCTCAGAGCAGGCACTAAGCTGGCTTTGATCCCTTGCCTTGATGTGGTGGCCCAAGCCATCCTGAGTACCTGTCTATCAGATGCCCCCTTGCCACTGCAGGACAGAAGCTGCAAGCAGCGTGGTGAGGAAGACAGCTCCCCGGGAGCGCTCCTACGTTCTGTCAGCGGCCAAGAAGAGTACTGGGTGAGTTGCACAGCAAGAGACTCGGCTCAGCCACCAGCCAGCTCCATGCTCTGGAATAGTTTTTGTCTATTCAGGGCTCCAGTATTCCTCTGTCTGGTGAAGGTTGGGGTGAGTGGGCCCTCTTAGCTGGACCTTTTGAGATGCTCAGATGTACTTTCTGGAAAACTGAGGGGTCTGGCTGCTGCCATCAGCATAGACAAGAGGCTAAGAATGGTAGAGAGGCCCAGGATTCTCTGGGGCAGAGTAGTCATGATGTCACCTGTCTAATCCATAGATTCTGCCCAACATATCACCTTTCTACCTCCTTTTCAGAAGCCCTGTCCAGGAGATGCAGCCCCCATTCATTGCGAAGAGGTAAGTGTCAGCAAGGGAAGCCTTAGAGGCCTATCTGCTGGTCATAGAGGAGGTCGCCTTTTGGCAACGGTGTACTGTGGGCACTGGGGAGAAGGTCAGGATGGGGTGACGCCACTGTCCCTGAGCACAGATAGTTCGTTGTAAGGGGCTGGTGGCTTCTGTTTGGAGGCCAAGTGAGCACCTGGGTGGCTGTGGCCCCAGCATCCAGTTCTGTGTAGGCAGGAGCCTGGCTTAGAGGACACAGCTTATGGCTATACTCTCCTATTTGCCAGTAGCTAACAGGGCTGGGCCCCTGACCCAAGATGGACATACTATTTCCAAGGGCCTCTGGGGTTTTGAAGCATAAGTAGTTATGGGGGTATATAGGATTTGTTCCCTTGCCCTCCCTCCCATCCTACCAGGAACATGCTGGACAGTGCCCACACAGGAGCTATCACAGGGATGGGGTCTAGAGGCTTGTCACTGGAAGCACCTGCCTGGTTGGCCAGGCCTTTGGATGTTACCATGACACTGGAGATGGGCCCTACAGTGTGAAGAGGGTTTAACAAGGAATAATCAGGACATCAGGACACTCCAGCTGAGTGAAGGAGGGGGGTAACCATTAGGTGAAAAAGACATCTTCTGGGAGCAGAGAATATTTGGGGAGAACAGGAAAGAAACTTCTGGACAAGTTGAATTTTAGGGATATTCCATTGGGTAGACAAGGAAGACCTCCATAATGAGCTGAGGACTGAAAAAACAAGATAAGCCAGCATGCCAATGTTCCAAGTAGAGGCCCAGAGGTGGGAACAGCTTGCTGTGTTGAAAGACCAGAAAGGCTAACTGAAATACAGCCAGCAGGGGCGGGTGTGCTCTTGATGGCTGTATCAGGTTCCTGGGGCTGCTGTAATAAAGTACCACAAACTGTGTAGCATAAACACCAGAAATATATTGTCTCCCAGTTCCAGAGGCTAGAAGTCCAAGATCAAGTTGTTAGCATGAGCTGGTTCCTTTTGGAGGCTCTGAGGAAGACACTGTCCCAGGCCTCTTTCCTACCATCTGGTGGCTATAGGCAACACTTGGTGATCCTTGGCTTGTAGATGCATCACTCTAGTTTCTGCCTCCATCCTCCAACGACTTTTGTGTGTCTATGTGCAAAATTCCCTCTTTTAATAAGGACACCAGCCATTGGATTTAGGGACCACTCTACTCTAGCATGACATAATCTAACTATGATTACATCTGCAAAGACCCTATTTCCAAAGAAGGTCACATTTACAGGTTCCAAGCAGACATGAATTTTGGAGGGACACTATTCAATGTAGTATGCTGTCCTTATCCCAAGGTGGAGTCGCTGAGCCCCCAGCCTGGGCCATCTTATGTCCATAGACTCCACTAAAGGAAAGCATGTCCTTCAGGGGGCAGCTGAACAGACAATGCATCTGTTTCTCTTTTTGCCCAAAGGGTGGAGGTGGTGGATGAGGATGGTCCTTCTGAGAAGAGCCAGAACCCACCTGCTCTGGCAAGATCCCCTCCTGGTTCCATCAGGTAATCAATCAGTCATCTCTCCCTGGGGCTGTTGGCTGTCAGGCCTGCCTGCCACTCAGTCATTGTGGAACTTCTGCCAGGTCACCTCTTTGCAGAGCCTCAGAGTCAGTGTCCCCATATGCCCAGTGACAGGATGGGGCACAGAAATCAGTAAGGGCCTATCTGGCTGGATGTCCTAGAGCTGAAAGGAGCAAAACAGTCTGGCCTCCAGGAAGAGAGCACTGAACTCTTGTCTGTTTAGTGGTTATCTGTGTCACGGGGTTGGAATGGGTCCGCCGCTGGGGCGCCAGCTCTGCCATTCTCAGGTTTATTCACCGTTCTACTAAAATTTGGCCAAGTTCAACCTGCCAACCTTGTCCTCCCACTCCTACTGGGGAAGGAGGCTCCGCAGTCCCCAGTGCCACTCACAGATGCCTTTTTTGCCAGTGCGGAGGGAGGCCGAGCCAAAGTGTCTCGGGCAATTTGGATTGAGCGCATGCCGAGTCTGCCAAGCCCTGCCGGGAGCCTGGAGCCCAGGTGGGTGTTGCAAGCTGGCTCTGGCCTGTGAGCTGGTCAGATGGGAGGATCTGGCAGTGGGGTGACAAGGCAGGGGCAGGCCAAGCGTTGGTGATCTCACTCCAGGCAGGGCCCTGATATGCCCTGATTTCTGAGCCCTGAGTGTCTGAGCAGATAATGGTACTCTCTTGTCTGTGGATGAAGAGCAGTCAATACCACCTTGTACTTTGAGCTGAATCTTGCTAAGTCCTATTGAGAGCACCACCGTCACTGCTGTTTAAAGCACCTGCCTGGATTCAGAGCCCTGCCCAAATCCAGGTCTGCTGAAAGCTGTGTCTCTGTGGCATCCTTGGAAGACCCCTGAGGCCAGAGGGACAGAGCACCTATCCCTACAGGTCATTTTTGGAGACTCCAAGGACTGTTTCAGCTCTCATAATGCCACCGCAAGCCCCACTTTCCCAACTCAAGCCCCACAGCCATTTGTATGTATCCACCATCCTCAGGGTCACCTCCTCTGTGTCAGGAGAAAGACAGATCACCTGCCACAGCACTGGCGGTAGAGTGAGGCTGCAGACAGACCTCCTCTGCCTCACAGGAGCAGCAGGACTGCTGGGTTGGGGCTGGGAGGGGAGGGAAGAGGTAGCAAGGCCCTCTCTGCTGGAAAGCCCCTCCTCTTCACTCAGTCCTTTTTTTATTATTATTGTTAAAAGTATTACAGATGCCCCCCTTCTCCCCCATCGACCCTCTCCTTACCATTCTCAACCCTTCCTGCTTCCCCCAACCTAATGTCTGTGTCCACTGGTTCTACATATATGCATTGAAGTTCTTCAGTCATCTTTTGATCTTTCCTGTGTGTCTGAACTTTTATCCATAAGAACTTTTGAACAGTGGAAATATCTGAGAACTCTTCACAAAGTAGCATTGATGGGACTTGGTGACTGATAGGATATGGGGGCTGTCTTAGATTGCTAGAGCTGCTGTAACAAAGTCCCAAAAACGGTGAATCAAACAACTGAAGTGTGTTATCTCCCAGTTCTGGAGGCTGGAAGTCCAAGATCCAGATGTTGGCAGGGTTGGCTCCTTTGAGGGCTCTCTCCTTGGCTTTTAGATGGCTGTCTTCTCACTGTGTCCTCACATAATCATCCCTCTGTGTGTTTCTGTGTCCTGATCTCTTTTTATCAAGACACCAGTCAGATTGGATTGGAGCCCACCTCAATGACCTCATTTTAACTTAATCACCTCTTAAAAATCCTATCTCCAAATACAGGCACATTCTGAGGTCCTTGGGGTTAGGATTCAACATACAAATTGGAGGGGATACAATTCAGCCCCAAACAGTGCACATCTTTGAGTTTTCCTTATTTCTCTTATATAAAAAAAAAAGCAATGAATGGTTTCATATGCTTTTTAAAACAGAATATAGGAGGAGAATTCAATTGCATTATATTATAGATTTGAGAGGCATTTTGACATTTATTCCAGAAAATTCCTTTGGGTGTTTAATACCTATTACCTGGTTGTCACAGAAGGTAGCTGTCGCAGTCTTCTGGGGCTACTATAACAAAGTACCCCAGCTAGTGGCTCAAACAACAGAAATGTATTCTCTCCCAGCTCTGGAGGCTGGATGTCTCAGATAAAAATTTGATATAAAGCCCCAGGAAATAGAGCCAGAACCAGATTATGGAATGTTCCACACACCAGAGGTGTCTCATGACGAGTTAGCCTCCTCCCGGAATGATGGCTGGTCAGGCGAGGCGTGATGCTTTTCATTGTGCTGCTTTCCTCAGATTCTGCTATCACCAAATATCTAGACCCCACTGGGCAGCTTCCAGGTGAGCTGCTGGCCAGTCCTGAGCAGCCTTCCTCTCTGACCTGACCCATTCAGGCCCTGCACTAGGCCAGGCAGCCATCGCCAGCCCCCCGCACCCAGTCCTGCCTGCCTAGCTATGCCCTTGAAGAAACCCAGCCCCATGGGGAGCAGCGACTCAACCAAACCCTGGGGCTTGCAGCACCTCAGAAGAAGCTGGTTTATGGCAGAATGGGACAGAAGAATATCACAGCCTTGTCCCCAGGCATTGTTCTGCTGAGGCTGCCCCTCTACAAGCCTGCCCCTATTCTCTCCCCTTTGGCTCAAGTCTGAAAGTCTTCTCCTCGTGTCATGAAGCAGGACAGCCATGAGGAGTGCCCCTGTCTTAGGTGGCAAGCCCTTTACAGATTTTAAGGAAGGCTGAAAGTTTGGAACAGGAATTGCCAGACAAGAATGCCCACAGGCTGTGCCCTCAGGGCTCTCCAGCTGTCTCTTTCTTTTCATTGGAACTCCCATCTTGCTCCAGACCCCAGACCTACTTGGGTGTCCCAAAGGCCCCTCAGCTCCGGTGTCCACATCCACTCTACTTGTCTTCACCATCACCCGCACACACACATATTGCTCACACATGGAAGGGGCCCTCCCTCCATGCACCCCAGGCCTGGTCTCTTGGGTTAATCTAGTTTTTCTTGCTGAGGAATAACTCCTGCCCACTTTCCAAACTGACCTCATTTGGATACCCTCTCCCAGAGAAACTGACCTGCGTGAGGGCTCCCAGGCCTGGCTGCTGCCCCGTCACAGCACTGTTCCAAATTCCTTGGCACTCTGCCTCACCCAACCAGGGCAGGGCCTGCAGTCTGTGCCCCAGCATGCTGCCTGCTAGGGTAGCTGGGAAGCAGTGAGTAAGAGCACAGCTTCCAGCACAAGGCAAAACCCTGGCATTGCCCCTTACTGGCTGTGTGACCTTGAGAGAGTCACTTCACCTCTCTGTGCCTCAGTTTCTTTATGTGTAAATAGGGAACAATGAAAACTACTGCCGAGGCTGTCCCAAATAAAATAAAATAAAATAAAATAGAGCTTGTAAAGTCCTTTGCATAGTGCCTGGGTGCTGTTATTGTCAGGTGCTCCACACTAGAGGCTTGCTAATTTTCAGGGCCCAATATCACCACCTGCTGGCCTCTGAGGAAAATGCAGCTGTGGGCTCTGGAGAAGGAGGTTCAGGTATCTCCACCGTTTTTCGAAAGTTCACCTTCTGCCACTTTGCTTTTAAAAAGAGCCAAAAGACTGACCTGGCCGGTTTGGCTCAGCGGTTAGAGCGTCGGCCTGAGGTCCAGAGAGACCCGGGTTCGGTTCTGGCTAAGGGCACGTACCTCGGTTGCAGTTTGTCCCCAGCCCTGGTAGGGTTGTGGCCACTCGATGTGTCCCTTTCACGTCTCTGTTTCTCTCTCTCTCTCTCCCTCCTACTCTATCTGAACGAAAAAATGGAAAAATGTCCTCGGGTGAGGATTAAAAAAAAGAAAAAGAAAGAAAGAAAAAATAAATAAATAAAAAGAGCCAAAAGACCTACATTAATATCTGTCTTCGCCAACCAAGAGAAATCCGAAGAGGATTTTTGCTTTTATAAAAAGAGGCAAAAAGCAAAACACATTTAGCTCATCGTTTCTTCCCTTCACACCATTTTGGCTTAGGAAAGGTTTCATAGGGACACTCTACTTGCTGGGAAACCTGCATTCCCTCCTCACCCCCCCCCCCCCCGCCTCTCTCTCTCTTTTAGCTTATGAGTTGCACACTCTTTGGCACAGGCTACTGTCAGTCGTGTTCCCACGGGCAGCTGGGGCTGCACTGGATGAGTGTTCCTGGCCTTCAGCAGCTCTTAGCCTAGCTGAGAACTTCAGATTAGACTGGAGCCATCTGTGGTTGAGGGTCTGGGGAGGTGGCGGGGCTTGTTGGGGGGCTGCGGGGGAGGAAAGTCTGGAAGGCTCTTGTATGAATTTGCTGGGGCTGCCGTGAGTTTATCCTCATAGGTTTGGAGGCCAGAAGTCCTAACTAAGGTTTGGACAGGCCTGTATGCTCCCTCCAAAGGCTCTGGAAGAACATGGTTCTAGAATTTTCTCTCAGTTTCTGGTATTGCCAGCAATCCTTGGTGCATCCTTGCCTAGCATGAAGGTGCATCACTCCAATTTCTGCCTTTGCCTTCACATGGCTGTCTTCCCTTTGTGTTCCTGTGTCTGGATGTTCGCTCTTTATAAGGACACCTGTCATATTGGGGTAGGACCACAGCGTGGCCTTATCTTAACTAATTACATCTGCAATGACCTTATTTCCAAATCAGATCACATTCACAGATACCAAAGGTTAGGACTTCAACATATCTTTTGGGGGGCAAAATGCAACCCATAACAGCCCCTCTGGAAGAGCTCCCATTTGACCTGGGTCTTTAAGAAGCAATTGCTCAGGGGGACGATGAAGGAGAAGGAAGGTATTGAGGGAGAGACGCCAGCTTGGGCAGGCTGGGGCAACGCTTTGTTCCTATTTCCTCTCTGACATAACAAGAAACACCAGTGAGAAAATACTTTTTACTTGCCTGTGACATCCCCAAGTAGAATGTGCCCCTGCTCCCTAGCAGCACATGTTTGAGACAGGGCAGAGTACGCTGGCGGCCAGGGGCTTTGTGCTGTCATCATCATTGTCACGGGAGAAGACAGGTGGAGATCAGAACTGCCTGTATGGACTTGGCCCCTTACTGGCTTTCGTGTGAGGAGAGGCTCTGTCCCTGGCAGCCCTACTGTTTCATTCTGGTCATCTCCAGTGTTCCCAGGAGGGACAGAGATGAGCAATCCACTGATCTGGTCCTCCATAGGCTCCCAGCCTAGGTTGGAACCAGGCACCAGGGTCAACACCCAGGCTCACCCACCTCCCTGCCTTCACCTTGGCTCCTCGGATTCCTCCTTTTCCTGGGGACCCTGGAGTGGCCTCTCTAAAGTGCTAGTCTAGTCATGTCAAGTCCCTCACCCCCCACTTTAAGCCCATCCCGTGGCTTCCCTTTGCTACACCTTATCTGGTCTCGGCATTTAAGATACCTACCAGCCTTCACCTCCCCCTTCCCCATCTCCCTCCAGCTAGGCTGGGGACTTCACCAGGGCAGGCCTGGGGCTAACCCCGATCTGTACCCCAGTGCTCAGCCCAGTGTCCAGGAGCAACCAAAGGGAGGAGTGGATCTGGATAGGCGTAGTTTGGGGTGAGGGTACCCCCACAAAATCAGGGAGCTCTAGGTTTTCTCCAGCCCTGGCCATCACCATGACCCAAGGCTACTTGATGTCAGGCCCTGCAGTAGGGGGAAAAAAATACATCGGACTTGAAGGAATGTGTGCCATCACCTGCAGACCAGGTTCTGAGCACAGGAAGCCTCAAAGGGGCGCACTGAGCACTGAGAATATCTGATCCTCTGAGGACTCACAGGGGCCTGGTCACTCACTGCCTTTTATCCCTCAGTCTCCGCTATTCCTCTCCCACTGGTTCTCACTTTAAATTTGGTTTATAGGTTTTCTAGGCATCTTATTCACCATCAGTCTGCATTAGCCCATGAACTCAGAATTCCTACTGGCCTCACAAATAGCCACTCTAGACACTCCAGTTGGGCCATAGACAGGATTTGTGGTGGCAGCTACAGACATAGTGTTGGGCTGGGTGCTTTCACCCAGAGGGCCCCTCTCTGTGCCTGAAGGGGCCTGGGCTTGAGGTGGGAGACTGATGAAGGGATCCCTCACTCCCCTTCCTCTGAGGCCTGGAGGTCAGTGGCCCAAACTCAGCTGCAGCACCAAGAAGGCTCAAGATGAGCCCCAGCCAGTGGCTCAATTGGTTAGAGCATCATCCCATATATCAAGAGGTTGCACGTTTGATTCCCAGTCAGGGCACATACCTGGGTTGTGGATTCGATCTCCAGTCAGGGCATGTGCAGGAGGTGCCTGATCAATGTTTCTCTCTACTCTCGCTCACTCTCTCACTCTCTCTTTCCCCCCCTACCAAACATCCTCGGGTGAGGATCAAAAAACAAAAATACATAAATAAATTAAATAAAAGAAGGTTCAAGGCCAAAGAAGAGCCAAGAGGGGATAAAAAGGCAATGGGTCTGGGTGTCCCACTGCACTAGCCAGGAGGCTGCTGCTGAGGGAGAACGCTCTCGGATGCCCAGAACAGATGGGAAGACTTTTCTTACCAGCAATTCTCTCTGGCTCTCTCCTTTGGCTACAGCGCAAGAAGTGAGGAGATTGTCCATCTGCAGATCATGACGCCCGAGGCGGGACTCCGCCTGATGGCCCCAGACCTGGAAGGAATGAGGTACAGGGACCCTGCTGCTGTCTAGACTCCTTCCACATTATTTTAGAGATGGGGGTCAGCAGGGCCAGCAGGCAAATGAGACCTAGGGTCTGAATGGTGGGAGACATGGTCGACCTGGGTTCTCTGCCCCATCTCATTCTTTTACTCCACAACTATTGAGGAGCAAGCACGTGGCCTGTGGGAGGCCAGGCTCCACTCTAGGGATCCAGCAGAGTCCCAGCAGAGCCCGTGGCCTCAAGTGCTGACTGTATGCCTGGTGGGGGAGGCAGATGTAGACACAACTAGCTGTGAAGGTTCACCCCTGCTGAGCCCTGAGGATCAGACAGACCTACTGTGCTAAGTGGGGACATAGGGTGTGTGAAGCTCCAGGAGGTCATTGGAGCAGTTGCCTGTGTGAGCAGAGCCACTGGGAATGGGGTGGGGTCAGTGGATCAGCCTTGACAGCTCATGATGCCTCCATGTCCAGTGCTGGGGAGGGAGAAGGATGAGATGGGGGCCACAACCAGCAGGGAGCATAGCAGGCCCAGACCCTGCCTTAGAGGAGTGGGCAGATGGCCAGGTAACAGGCAGGAAGAATTCAGAGGGCTGGGGCTGGGCAAGAGGAGATCGGATCAGGGAGGGGCCACTTCTCCCTCGATGGGCAGGATGAGGAAGGGATGCCTCCCTGGCTCTCTACAGCACCTTTTCTCCTGCTCATTTAAGTATTCACCCAACTAGTGTTTATTGAGTCCCTGTGGAACATCTGACCCCGATGGCAGGGCCTGGGAGGCAGCCGTGATGCACCAGGCTGGGACTCTGCCTTATGAAACCTGGAGTCTGGGGAGGGAGGCCAGAGTGTATGCCCAAGATAATCCCTGAGGCACTGGGAGCTCTGAACAGGGGCTTCTCACCAGCATGGAGATGGGGATGGTTAGGGAAGGCTTCCAGGAGGAAGTGACATCAAAGATGAGTCCTGATGGATCTCTAGTCCCTTTACTCTCCTCCTTGGCTCCTCCTCCACAGCCCCACCCCAGGCAATCACTGAGTCCTGTTCATTCTGTTTTAGAGATATTTCTGTCTTTACTGCCCACCCCTGGGTCCAGGCCTCCACCGCCGCTTGCCCAGCTGTCTGCAATCATCTTTTAGGATCCCATATCCAGACCGTCCTTCACATTTGTGCCTGGGTAATATTACTAAACGGCAGGAATAGTCATGCCAGCCCACTGGGGAAAACCCTACAATGGGGTTCCTCATTTAGGCTCTGCAGCCTGAATTCGATACTTTACCTGGCCCTTCCCTTCACCCACTTCCCTGGCTCCCCTCATATACTCTCCCTCCCTGGGCCATCCACTTCGGTCTCCCAGGCCTCCATGTGTCCCCAGCACTATTCTTCTGTGCGGGCTGTAGGCTCTGCCTGGGATGCACTTTCCCCTCTGCATTTCTCAGTCCCATCTCAGACATCCCCCTCTGGGGCACCTCACTCCTTGCATTTCTTTCTAAAGTAGCATCTGTGAGGAGCTTTCCCCTCTGAGCTCTCACAGTGCTATGTTCATATCTCCACCAGACAATCTGCCACACAGTTTTCCTCTCATGGATCAGTTTGCCCCAAGAACCCTGAGCACCTGGAGGGCAGAGACTTCATTCCCTTTGGGCCCCAGCACAGAGCATGACCCAGAACAGGAATGCAGGAGTGTTTGTTACTGGAATGATTGCAAATCATCCAATGTCTCTAATAAGGCAATGCTGGAAGCTACTTCATTGGTTTCCCTAAGGTGACCATTCTCTGAGAAAGGGGAAAAGTGACCCCTAGAAATGTAGGAGGAAGCCAGGCTGCCCCCAAAGAAGCCATAAGGCCTCTGACACTTTGTCTGGGAGTGACCAAGCTACAGCAACCCATCGAGAGCTCTTGGAGCACCCCTCTCCCACTTCCCAGCAGGAGAATCAATTTGGAGAGAAAGAAGGAAAGTTAGAATTCTCCAAGCCCTGCCCTGCTCCAAGCAGGTGTAGTCACTATGTCTATTTCACAAGTGAGGAAACAGACCCTGAAGGGTCACACGGCCAAGAACAGGCAGATCCATGACTCCCACCCAGGCTACCCGGCTTCCACTCTGCACCCTTTGCTCCATAACTCAATACACTAGTGGGAACCAAGGGAAGGATGATATGAATACTTAATACTTTTTGTATGAATATGTGGTGAGATTATTTGTAGGCATCCAAATGCATATTACTAGGAGGAATTCAAGGGTTTGTGGCTGAGGTTTGGGAGAGAGGTCAGGGCTCAAGATATGTCCATATTATATGCAGACAGATGTGAAATGAAATAATGGGGCTTGATGTTGATGCTTACATGGGTTACAGTGTCAAGGGAATCAAGGAGAGGGGGGCCTGCAAGCTGGACACAGACCACTGTGGAGGATGCAGCTCCCTGGTCATCCCCCCTGAAGGCAGCTGGAGGACAATAGTCAGCTCTGGCCGGGTTTAGCATTAGTTTCCAGATAGCCAGTGTGGGATAAAATGGGGGTATAGGTCAGGAGCACAGAGGAGAGGTGGGAACAAGCAGAGGAGGGCAGTTGGTGCTATGGGAGCAGAGGGGGTGGCCAAGGTGTCACAGCATGCAGATGGAGATGAACACTGGAAACACCAATGTTTAAGGGGCGGAAGAGGAAAAGGCATAGGAGACTGGGAAGTTGTGGCAAAGGAGGTAGAGTGTGGTGTCACAGAATCCTGATGGATGCACGGGGGAGAGAAGGTAGAAATATCCCACTGGGTCAGTGGTCTGAATGACAATAATAATAAGAATATCTCTGTTGGGTTTGACACCATGGTGCTCCCTGATGACCTCAGAGAGAACAGAGGAAGTTTGAATTAGGAGGTTGGGATCAATTTTACACCACAAAAGATTATAGTCCAGAACTCTGAAGTCAGACTGCTTGGGTTTACTTCCCAGCTCTACCCCTTGTTACCTTTGGCACTTAGGATAAGTCACTCAGGTTTTTGTGCCTCATTTACTCATCTGGAAAGTGGACATGGATAATAATAGTGCCCCTGTCCTTGCGTTGATGTGGAGGTTAATATATGCAGAGTTATGGTCTGGCCCTCAATCAACAGTAGTTATTAGAAATGAGATTTTGAGAATTGGCCAAGCCTGCAATATCAGGCTCCTTGGAGAGAGTGGGCATTTGGGGATGAGGTAACTGCCTCCACCTGAGTGTGGGTGGCTGCTGAGTGGTTAACTTATGTTTCTTTCCTCCATAGGTCTTCCCTAGACTCCAAAGACAAGGAAGCCCTCAGCCCCAGGGAGCCCAAGAGAGACTTGGCTGGTGAGGGGGTTTTTAAGGGCCCCAATCCAGATTCTGAAAGGTAACTCAGTGGAAGGACATAGAGCCCACATGGCCTCTAGTCCAAAGTCCATGGTTGGACCTGGGACCAGGACCATGTTCAATGTGAATATCTGTTGGAAGAATGAATGGAGGAATACAAGATGCCTGGAGAGATGCAGGCCCCTGCCAAGATCCCTCAGGGAACCAGTTTCAGAGGAAGATAAAACTTTAAGCCAGGCCACCCCCACTCCAGCCTTTGGCCCACCCTCACTGTGCTTTTACACCATTGAAAGCAGCTCTGCCAATGGCCAGGGCAAGCAAGGCCACTAAGCTGTCATAATGGGAAAGTCAGTGACCAAAGGATGTATGAGCCCCAGCAGAACATCTAGCAGGGACTTCCAGGATGGCCTGTGCACAAAGGGAGTCATGGGTGGAGGAGGCAAGGATGGGAGGTGGAGGCGTGGTGAGGCATCCCACTGACCAGGGCGACCTGGGTGTAGTGATCAGTGGCTGAGAGTTAGGCATTTCTTCAGCAGGAAGCTGATGGCCAGTAGCGAACAAGAGCCCACCATCTTCTCAGTACAGAACCCCACACCCCAAGATGGGACTCAGCCATGGGAATGAGGGAAGGAGACCCAGGACGGGTAGAGGAGATTTTTGTCTGCCTTGGGAATCTATGGTTTAATTATTAGTGGCCCCAAATGTCTGTGCCTTGTTCTGCTGGCCATTGCCCAGCCCCTCCCCACGTTGTGCCACCCTCCTCCTGGGTTTCTTGGTTCCACTACTCCTCCCAGCCCAAAATATTTGAAAGAAAAGCAGAAATACTTGCTGGTATTGGCTTGTTTCCAGTTGGAACAGTGCAGGATGGCAGCCCAGGGCACGGGTTTCTGGTTCTTGAGATCCACTCTCAAGACATCTGAGTTAGATTAGATCAAAACCCAACCAGAGTCAGCAAATGCTTCTCTTTCCACAACAGGTCAAGTACACAGTCAAGAGATGGCAACAAGGGATCCAGAGCCACAGGCTCCCCACTTGAAGGCTTGGCTGGAGCAGACATCAGCTCTGGAAGAGGAGGGTGAGCTGCCCAGGGGAGGCAGGTGGCCCCAAGTTGTTGATTATCTCATGTTCCTGGTGACAGGCCAGCAAGAACTACTTGGGCTGCTGGGGGCGGAGCACTGGTCATTTCCCTACTGCTTTCCTCAGCAGCCCTCTCAGCTGCTGCTGCTTCCCTGAACCCACTGGAGGCCCTCTGCCCTCACTAACTTGACTAGTTTGCAACTGATGCCTGGACCCAGAGCCTCTACTTACAAGTCCAGAAGCCCAAGCCAACATGGGAAGGGCCCTAGCAGGCACCAGCCTCTGACCACTGGGCCTCAGTAGTTGCCAGGAAAGGCCACTGGGCCAGGACCTCAGTTCTTAGAGCTGCTACTTGTGGGGAGGACTGTGCAAGAGCCAACACCTGCAGTTTGCATCACTGTGTGCTGGCCAGCAAGTCATGCAGATTGACTCAACTGGCTGGTGGCTGTCATGGAAGACTTCGGGTCCACCGTGATTGGGTCTGGTTCTTGGCTGCTTCGTTTTTTAATATTCATCCAGATCATCCTTCTTGCCTACACACCTCCAAAAAATGAAGTTTTTGCTTCCTGAAATTAACTTGCAAAATAAGCTGGAGAATCTTCTAGATTTCTCTGATTTTTAACCCAGTCTTTTACATTGTCTTACCTATACTGATTTTGACAATGGTTTTTAAGAAACTCGCCTTTACTGTCTTTCCAAAGAAAAGGTTGTTTCTCATTAGTAACTTAGTGATTATGATTGTAAGTACAACTGGCATGAAAGGGTTTAGGAACAAACACCAGGAACTCTTAGTGTACTATGTAAATGAAGGGTGCAGGCTTGCACAGGTCATAAAATACCCTGTGAACTATGACTGCTTGGCATGCTGTGAGAGTCAGTTTGCCTGAAAGACAGATGTGGCCTACCCCTGAGAAGGCCAGGTAAGAGAGTACCTACTCAATCTGTAAATGGTCACAAGGCCCAGTATTAATAACAGGAACACTTCAGTACATGCTAGGTCCCAGGCATTATTCTAAGTACTTAGCATCTATTAACTAATTTACTCTTGTCAGAAAAATTGTGAGGCAGACACAATTATTATCCCTATTTTACTGATGATAAAACTGAGGCTCAAAGAGGTCAGATAATGTGCCCAAGGTCACACAGCTGGAAAGTAGCAAAGCTGTGATTTGAATCTGGGCAATGTGCCTCCAGAGAGCACTAGGCAATACTGCCCCAGTGTCAGGTAGCTTTGAGATATAAGTATTGTGCCCTGAGCATCTATTTGAGCAGCTCCTTAGTCCACCAGTTGGAGTAGCCATTTTGCTGTGAGTGTGTGGAGCATTTCATAGGGGTTAATCGTTCTGGACTCCTAAGAGGTATAGTTCAGACGAGGACACTGGAATCCAAAATCAGGAGACTTCCTCAGGGACCTTCACACTGGTCAGGGGTAGTGTTTTGTTTCAAACTCAGGTGCTAAGGCCACAGCCAGGGCACACAAGATGTTATCCCTCACAGTGGCATCTGTACCACACTAATGGCAGGACTGAGAGGCCGCCCTTTACTGACAGATATAGTCCCCCTTTCCTGTGAGAAGGCAGCTCAGAAGGGGAAGGCCTGGGCCCAGTCTCCTATGGTCTGAGGCCTCAATGGGCCTATGTGCTTCCTCCCTCAGCTCCGGTGCCACTTTGGTTTCTCCTGTACCAGCTGATAGGAAGAACAGCCCAGCAGACTTGGAGGACATGGAGGCAAACTTAAAAGGGTAAGGCATCAGCCAAAAGAACTGTTTCTATGGTGGAGAGAGGCAGCTCAGGTTTGCATTAACCTTTGGCTGGAAAGTGAGGTTAGTGAGGCCTATGAGCTGGCCCAAGGCACATGGCAAGCGCCGAAGCCCCAGCTGAAACCCTCTGGTCTCTGCCGTTGGGTGTATGGAGCCTTCTACTACCTCATGTTGCCTTTAGCCAAGAAGTTCTCCATAATCAGGAAGTCACCCACTCTTTCAGTCAGCAACCACTTGGACAACAACCCTGTGATGGAGGGCAAAGCCTGGCCCAGACAGGAACAATATATCACGCTGGAGGAGGGAAAGGGGAGCAGGCATGGTGGCTTCATGGGGAAGGTGGCTTTTGAGCTGAATCTTAAAAGGTGAATAAGAGTCCCCTGAGCAAAGGAAACAGTAGGTGCAAAGGACTCCAATCAATGTGGTGTTTCCTGGGCACTGTATGTAGCTAAGTGCAACTGGCGCTGGGGGCCCTTGGAGGGGAATGGTGGAACAGGAGGTTTGTTGAGACAGGCCTGGGCTGATTGGCCTTTAATACCAGATATTGTTAAAGATCACAACAGTTACTTAACTTTGGGACACAGGCTTTGTGTTCAGCCCTTCATCCAGTGTCTCATACAGTCCTCCCACAATCCTGCGAGAATCCATCCTAATTAGAATGATGAACAAAGGCTTGGAACCTAGGTTTCTGTGCCTCCTGGGAAGAACAGTGCTCTGACAGAAATAGCCAGGGCGCTGAGATAGAGTGATGGCAGTGAGGAAGGCTATTGCTCAGATGGGGGGGGGGGGGGGGGTAACTCAGGGGAGCTCCTCTAAAGAGGAAAAGGAACTAATTCTAGGAAGAGCGAGGAGAAAAGAGCTGCATATAGGGAACCGCAAACCTAAAAACCCTGCAATGTGAACATGCTCAGCGTACTCCAAAGCATAGAGTGGCTGAAGTGGCATAGAGTGGTCCCCCTCTCTAGTGAGGGGGACCATAGACAGAGTAAGGCCTTTGTAAGCCATGATAAGGAGGTTGGATATTATTTAAAATGTAAGCAAAAGCGATACATGGTCTAATTTAGGTGTGTAAAAGGTGAGTGCATTTTTGTATTTTCACACCACATTGCAGGTACTTCTTTATATTTGTGACCTCCACTGAAACTGGGATGCTGGGAGTCGGAGTAGGCAAGGAATCTCTAAAGTATGAGGCCCTATTATGTGACTTTTTTGTTTCAAATCGCACTGACAATCGAGTGAAAACAATAACTGACACCCATAGTGTGCTCTGCTAGTTGCTTTACAATCTTCCCAGCACCCCTGTGAAATGGGTAAGACGGGGAAACTGAGACATAGAAAGCTTGTGATTTGTCCAAGGGCTTACAAGTGGCAGAGATGTGTCCCAATGCAAGAGGCTCTAAGAAAAACCTCAAGGGGAAAAAAATTTAAGCTAGTTTATGAAATATTTTCTTTGGAGCCTATTCTCAAGGCCCAGAACCAGTAACTCTTAGGTGGTTAATGTGTAAAGCATTCTGTATGCATGATCTCACTTACTATTTCCCAAACCTGGGTAAGGATCTAGCTTCTGATGTAGATTAACAGTGGAGGAAACAGAGGGCTCCTGTTGCTTCAAGGAGCAAACCTAGGAACAGAGCCCAAATATGGTTAACTCTACAGCCCAGGCTGAGAACTACTTGCCTCTGATGTGTATAAGTTTGCAAAATCAATACAAACTTTCTTGAACACCGTGTTTCACAATTCTGGCTGCACTTGAGAATCACTCAGGAAGTGTTTTAAAAAAATAAAAAAGCTTTCTGAGCTCTATGCAGAGATTAGATTTGATTGTTCTGGGGTGGGGCTCCGCCATCAATATCTTTTTAAAAGCTCCCAGTTTATTCTCATGTCCAGGCTAGGTTGAGAACCACTGTTGTAGGGTAGTGGTTCTGAACCAAGGGCATCTACCCTACCTCCCCACCCCCTAAGGGTCACTTGGCAATGTCTGCAGACACTATTAATTCTCATAGCTGGGAGGAGGGTGCTACTGGCAAATAGTGGGTGGAGACCAGGGATGCTGCCCAAAGTCCTACAATGCACAGGGCGGCACCCACCACGGAGTTATCCAGTACAAAATGTCAACAGTGGTGAAGTTGGCAAACCCTGTTCTAGAGCTTTCACGATCTCTATGGGAAACCAGGAGATTCTGGATTGGGAAGAAATAAAGGGTGGACCCTGAGAGAAGCCAACAGTCTTCCAGGGGTCTGGGCAGCGAGCCTGCGTGGGTTTGCATTTAGTTGGGCATGAGACCTTCCTGTGTGTGCCAGTGCATGCGATGGGCTCAGCGTGCGTGCGCACATGTGTGCTTGGTGTGCATGCGTGCACCTGTGCGTGCGTGTGTGCATCTGAACGTGCGCCCCTGCGTGCGTTCCTGCGTGTGCGCGCGTGCGCCCCAGTGTGCGTGCCTGAGCTCGGCGTGTGTGAGTGCGTGCGCTTGCACCTGAAGAGCATGCGCCTGCGCCCCGGTGTGAGACTTTCTGTGTGCGCCAGTGTGTACGTGCACTGAGCTCCTGCGTGTGCGCGCCTCCCAGCGTGTGCGCGCTTCCCAGCGTGTGCGCGCCTCCCAGAGTGTGTGCGCCTGCGCGGGCCGCCATTTCCTGCAGCCCCGAGTTCTAGTCGCAGTGCATATCGGGAAATGCAACCATCTAGGAGCCGAAATGGCTGTTCTGGGCGAGAACTACCTCCCTGGCGCTTCTCTTCCGGCCATGCTCGCGTCTGCCGCCAGATGGCGCACGAGGATCATGGATGGGCATGACCGCCCAGGTCTCCTGCTGCCCTTTCCTCGCTGGCGGGGTGAACTGGGATTCCCACTCTCCTTGGGGTTGAAGCTTTAGAGAGAGCGGAAGGGAGAGGAAGAGAAACACTGATGTGAAAGAGAAGCATCAAACGGTTGCCCCCTGCACATCCCCTACTGGGGAGCCAGCCCACAACCGGGGCATGTGCCCAGATGTAGAATCAAACCAGCAAGCTTTGCCTTACAGAGTGACGCCCAATCAACTGAGCCACACCAGCCAGGGCCCCACTAAACTTTTGTTATTAGGCTTTACATCTAAAACATAAGTTATCTTCCTTTTTGTTATTTTGCAATCTGGACATTTCGGGTTTATGATCTTTCTGCGTGAAGAACAGGTGAACTTTAAGCAAAGCACATTTATTCACTATGGACAACTGTTGTCAAACAATGGAAGAGTCTATTGGAGGTAGTACAACAGTGGAAGAGGGTGGTCTCTTCCTGCAGTGAGTATGATTGTGTCGAGAACTGGCAGTATCCGTAATAGGCCACACAATTTTTTATCTAGTTATAGCCAGAAGTATTACCTTGCCTATGTCTAAATGCTTGACTTCCAGATAATTCAGTATGAGCCTGGAAGACCTCTAGGCTGTTACATTGCTCAGCAATACTTCCTGTGATATTTTACTAAGACTTCAGCTGGGTTACACCTATAATTGTAGTGACTCTGCTCTGAGGTTGAAGGCAAAGGAGCCTTATTCATCCACTTGTCCCTATGTGGCAGTAGACCCCCAAATTGCTCTTTGCAGAAAATCAACTTTATTCACAAACTTGGTGAGGACAACCTCTACCACCATAATTCTATAGAGGACATGGGATGGAACAGGACTCTGATTAAATCCATGGTAAAGCTAGCTCAGGGCTCCCAGAGTCAGGAGACAAACTCTTTGGGCCTTCCAGGTTTATCTTTGGCTCAAGCATGTATGTTACAGGCAGAGGTGAAATAGATGTCTCAGGGTATCCTGCTGGCTAAAGGACTGGCATTAGGGAAGCAGACCATTTTTGGTATCTAGCTGGGCTGCAGCAGACCATCAGTAGAAGCAGCACAAAGTGGCTCAGTACTCACTTTCCTGCAGATCCGCAAAGTATAGCTGGACGTGGAGTTTGGCTTGTTCCTGCTAGGGTCCTTTGGTTCCCTGCACCTGAGGCTGAAGAGTCACACTGCTTTCATGGCATACGCTCAAAAAGTATGGTCACTTCTCCCCTGTTATTCCAGCTTGAAGGCAGGGAGCCTGCCTACTACGAAGTTAACTTTCATAAATAAAGAATCCCAGGGCTGAAGATAGCTGGTGTTGTCTTCTTGCCCTCGGTTAGCCCCATGATTAATTGAAGACAGGCTGCTGATTTGGGGAGGTTTGAGTTCAGGATGAGCCAGAATCAAGGTGATGGTGAACTAGGTTTTCATTTTATGGAATTCTGGGCTCATGCTTTCAATAACCTGACTCAGTCTTTGCCTTTGGCCTAGTGGGCATATGACATTTTTGGTGCTTGAGGCCACTAGGTAGCAACACCATCACACAGGATAGAGGTTCCAGAGGAGGCACCAAGAGACAGAACAAAGCCCTTGGAAGCACTGTAGGATGGGGATGGTGATGGGAAGTGCGAGTGTTGATGTGATGTGAGGCCAGGGAAGAAGGAAGACCTCCCAAAGTGCTCACTGCCTAGAACACGCCCTCCTTGCTAAATTCAGGGGTTGGCAAAAGCATCAAAAGCTCAGGCTTCACCTAGTACATGTGGGGACGGCCTTTGTCTGTGAGAAGGGAGTAGTGGTGCTGGGGTTCTCCTGAGGAGAAAACAGACTGCTTCCCAATATGGAGGTCATGCTGGGCTCCTCTTTGCCCCATTCTCAGGGAAAGGAACTGCTATGTCCATGGAAGGTGACATCAGTGTGCAGTGAGTGAGCAAGGACTAGTCCCACTATTCTCACTTCATAAGGGCACTCATTCTTCCTCAGCTCCTTGGCTGGTTTTGAGGAGAGGAATGTGGTCACCAAGCTGGGAGATACCTGGCAGGAGAAGCCTGGAACTCCGAGAGGTGGCCAGAGAGACCCAGCTGCACCTACTCAGCAGCCTGAAGACCCCAGCACTCCAGAGCATCAGAGCAGCCTCAGAAGACCCCAGCAGCTCATGGATTTGGAGAACCAGGCCAGCAGGTAAGGGTTACGCTGTGCTGGGCTCCTGCCTGTCCAAGCTGGAATTTTGTCAAGCTCCATGACCCAGGTGGGGGCTGTTTTCACCACATGTTCATGCCAGTGCCTGGCACATTATACACTTGGGTGCTCACCCTTGTGCCCCATGTGGGATTAGAATGGTAACTCCCTGGCCATGGAGCAGTGTCAAGGGGCTTCCTGTGGTGCAAGGAGCTAAGATAAGGCCTGTGGTGGGAGCATATGTCTATCCTCAGAGATGAGAAGCCCTGGCTAATTCCTGAAGTGTAGAGTAAGAAGAAGGTTTCCCAGAATATACATGCACTTCAGGTTGGGAGGTCACAAGTAGGGTTAAGGCTATTTGTCTGTTGATTGGGGGGTGAGTGGGGAGTGAGAGAAAGCAACAGGGTGAAGCCGTGAGAGAAATGGTCAGAGTGAGAGAGAAAGCATGAGTAAGTAGGCATTAGAGAGGATGACAGTGGTATTGAGAGTGGCAGCGGGATTGTGATAGGCAATGTTTTGGTGTGTGTCAGTGTGCATGAGTAAGATGGCAAGTGTGACTGTGACTGGAGGTGACCATGTGGTATGTGTTGAAGTGTTCAAATCGAGGCTCTCCTGAGAGCATCTGAAGTGCTGGTCCCTATACTTCATGCCCTATACAGCTTATGAAAATGTTGACAGATTGTTAAGATACAGCAAGCTTGTATTGCTTGGAGATTTCATAGAGACCAATTGAACGCTCTTACCATTTCCATAGATCCAAGTAAATGGTTTTTCACACAAAACAGAAATGCTAGAAGGGGAAAACCGAGACTCACTACCCCAGGAGATGAGAGATGGTACTTGTGGCTTCTCTTGCAGGGATAAAATAAAAATATTCATCCATCCTCACGGTATTAGATTTCTTATACTATGGAGATTCCATAATAAGTTACATAGAAAGCTATATTTAGAGCCAGGCTGTCCTATTCAATAAAAGGTTTTTTTTATTTAAGAATATCCAACTAGCCCTGGCCGATTAGGCTCAGAGGTTAAAACATCGGCCCATGGACCAAAGAGTCGTAGGTTCAAGGTCACGTACCATGGTTGCAGTTTGTCCCTGGCCCTGATTGGGGTCATGCTGGAGGCAGCCAGTTGACGTGTTCTTCTCACGTCAATGTTTATCTCTCTCTCCCCCTTCCTCTCCCTCCCACTCTATCTGAAGATAAATAGAAAAATATCCTCGGGTAAGGATTACAAAATAATAATAATAAATAAATAAATAAAATATCCAACTAATCTTTGACTCTTTTGCTCATCCTTGGCCCCAAGCCCAATGGGGGCCAAGACCAAAGTTATAGAGCAAACAACTTTGGACTTCCTGCCACATCATTTGGCTTACTACACCACCTAGTATTCTATTTAGTGAGAGAGGGTGCAAAAAGTGCAAACTGTAGATAAAACAGGAGACATTGGGTTTGTTTTGGGGTGTGTGGAAGTGTCAGGGGAGGTTTTCTTTACAGGTGGCATAAGGTTGGAGGTAGAAGATTTTACCAGATGGGCATGCTGTGCAAGAAATACAGAGTCAGGGTAGCTTCAGTGAAGGAAGGTTTAACTGGTGGTTTGGTGGGAAGTGCTGAGAGGGGCTGGGCAGGCACCTATTCCTAGGCGAAGGAGTGTGACCCACGTTCTGATGCCCCAGGGGCCACTGACAGCTTTCAGGAAAGTGAGATGACCAGGTGTGATTTGTAGGAAGATTCCTTCCAGCTGCTGTATAGGATCAGGCCAGGGGGGGATAAAGCAAGATGATTCAGAAGACCAGTTAGGAGACTTCTGCTCAGGCAAGGGAAAGGTGATGAGGCCACAAGTCTTTTTACTCTGTTAAGTGCAGAGGTGAGGGAAAGTGGTGCCAAAGCTGCTCTCGAAATTTCAGGGTTTGGCAACTTGGTGGAAGGTAATGGGCCCCAAACTATGACAGGAACTAGCTGAGGTTGTGGGGGTGCTGTGCAGAGATATGATAAAGGTCACTTGAGTCATGTTGAATGTGAACTACCTGTATGGAATCCAGGCAATAGTGTTCAATAGGCTATTGAGTAAACAAGTCTAAAGATGAGTGAAGATTACACCAGGGCAGGAGAGTGAATGAGGTCACCTGGAGAATGAGAATGCCTAGAGGGGGGTAGAATGTCATTTTTCTGGTATTTTGTTTATACTGCTGGGCTCTTGTGAAAGAATTGCTTATTTGCTTGCCAAGTTGGGGACTGCATGGACACAACTTGACCCCTAATTCTCCCTGTCTTTGGAAGCAGATGACTTTAGATGTACATTCCTGAAGGTCCCTCCTGAATTATCTGCTTCTCCACAAGCACCTGGGGCAAGTCTTCTTGCCAGGCCCTTGGCTGGATGAGTAAGTCCCTGGGGTTCAGGAATGCAAGGGGAGTCTTTCTTTTTGGCTCTACATGTAAAGCCATCTGCTTCACCAGCTGACATTTATCTCCATTTCATGCTTTTCCTTTGTTTCAAAAAGAAAAAATGGGGGATAATAATTATTGGCCCTCTGAAACTCTAATCAAGTATATAAAAAGAAAAAAATATAAAAAGATAAGAAAAAAATGGCAGATGGGTCAGATTTATGGAAAATAATATTGAAGGGTCTTCTAGAGGAAGAGGAAGAGGAACTAAAGAGGGGTACTGAGAAATAAATTTTTGGATAAATGGAAAAAACTGGAAAGAATGCAGTCATGAAAACCAAACCAGGCTGAGCTAACTTTCCTATGTGCTGTGGACCTTGAGATAGGCCTGCCAGGTTTGGCAACATAGAGTTAATGGCTGCCTTGAGGGGGGCATGTTGGGAGAGCAGAATGGCTGTGGTTGGATTATGGCGATTGGGAAGGAAGTAGTCAGTGAGGAGGTGCAGTTGGTAGAGGTGCACAACTCTTTCTAAAATGTTGGCCATGAAGTGGTGGATGTGGGAGGGGTGATCAGATAAACAGCTTCGGAATGAAGGTGAGGGCTTCCTAGAGTATGTGCGTATGTGGCCCAGGGGAGGAAATGCTTGCCAGGTAAGGTGAGTTTGCTGTTCAAAGAGAGTGAGCAAACTTGAAGGTGAAGGGTCACTGAGGTCAAGGTGGGGACTGAGAGGTAGATTCTAGAGTCTTGATCAGGAAAGAGAGGGCTATTTCTCTGAGACAGGAGGGAAGGCTGAGAGCAGATGTAGGTCAGAAGGCAGGGGAAGGAATGATCAGATTAATGTGAGCCACTTGATTTGTTTTGTGAATTAACGAACCACACAATCCATAATTAAACCAAATTTTACTTAGTTATTAGTTCCTGCCAAACCATATACTGCACTGGGGATATAGACACATAAGACTTGGTTCCTTCCCTCTAGGACAGCAGTTCTCAATCTGTGGGTTGTGACCCCTTTGGGGGTCGAATGACCCTTTCACAGGGGTCGCCTGAAACATAACAGTAGCAAAATTACAGTTATGAAGTAGCAACAAAAATAATTTTATGGTTGGGAGTCACCACAACATGAGGAACTGTATTAAAGGGTCACAGCATTGGGAAGGTTGAGAACCACTGGTCTAAGAGGTCACAGCCCTTGACAGTGGTCAGCGCTAACCCGTGGATTATGGATAAGGCACTGTGGCAGCATACTAGAAGGACCATGTGACTTGGCTGACCTCACAGAATCAAGGAAGGCTTCACAGAGGTGACAGTAGATTTTTCCCTTGAAAATCTTTGCAAGGAGGTGAAGGAAGGGTCCAGGAGTAGGAAGAATCTCCTATGCTAGATGAAAGACAGGTAGCAGTGTGGCATGTTTGGGGAGTACCCTGGGGTTTGCTATGACTGCAGTTTATGATGAGAGAGCAGTAGAGGAGTTGATGTTAGCCAGATAATGTGCAGACAAGAGTTAACCTAGCAAGCCTGAGACTTCTCTCCTTAGAAAGGCCTGCTTTCAAGGTGGCCCCTTGACTGGCCTCATGGAACTTGAAAAGGTAGACAGTTCTTTACACTAATATGAACCTTTTCCTAAATAACAAGAAATAAGTCTGATGGCAGAGATTGCTTGTACAAACAATGTGCCTTATGCTGAATCTCTGATTGCCTTCTGGGAGTTAGGAATTTTGGTAGGTGCCAGACAGAAAGTGCCTATGTGACTAACCCCCCAGTAAAAACCTTGGATTGTGACTTAAAACACTGGCTTTTCAATTTCCTGATTTTGTTTGGTATCTTTTTGCGGTAATAAACCTTAGTCTTGAGGACAACTATGTGCTGAGTCTTGGAGTCCTCCTAGAGAATCACTGACCGTAGGGGTGCCCTTAGGGACACCAACACAGCATATCAATATAATAAATGGCAAAAACTACACAATCACAGACAGATGGACAAGGTCATATACTTATGCCATAAGAAGGATTTAGACTTTCTCTAAAGGACAAAGAGGAGCCAGTAAAGTGTCTTCTTAAATTGTAAAATATCCATAACATAAAAATTACCATCTTAACCATTTTAAGTGTATAGTTCCATGGTATTAAGCACATTCACATGTTGTGCAACCATCACCACTACTTATCTCCAGAACTCTTTCCATCTTGCAAAACTGAAACTGTTCCCATTAAACAGTAACTCCCCATCATTCCCCCCGGCCCCTAATATTTACCATCCTATTTTCTGTCTCTATGAATTTGACTATTCTAGGGACTTCATGTAAGTGGATTCATACAATACTTGTCCTTTTGTGTCTGGCTTATTTCATTTAGCATAATGTCTTCAAGGTTCATCCATGATGTAACGTGTGGCAGAATTTCCTTCCTTTTTAAGGCTAAATAATATTCTGTAATAGGGATATTCTGCATTTTCTTTATCCATTCATCTGTGCATGGACACTTGGGTTGCTTCCACCTTTTGGCTATTGTTAATAATATTGCAGTAAACATGGATATACAAATATCTCTTTGAGATCCTGCTTTCAGTCCTTTTAGGTATATACCCAGAAGTGGAATTGCTGGATCATATGGTAA